AAGGACGCCACTTGCGCTTGAAGGTCGGCGTTCTCATCCATCACCCCCTTACTCACCTCGATCTCTTCCTCCTTGGCCTTTAGCGTCGCCTCAAGCTCGCTGTACCTACTGATAGACCTCATAAGCACAACGTCCCTCTCCCTCGGCTCTTCATCTTTTTTCATCAACTCATCGTCCTTCTATTTGAGCCCATCACGAAGCAGCTAAAACTCGTCGTCCTAGCTGAGAAAGTCAGCCATCGGAAGTTCGGTGCTTGGTACGATATTTCTTGTACTTGGAGGTCATCTTCTTAAAAAGATCTGCATCTCTCATCATCTGTAGCGTCGTATTCTCGGAAGTCGTGCACAGGGAAGCAAAGGCCGGCACCGCCCGTTCTGAGTTGGCCAGAAGGTCGTAGTCTGCTTCCACCGGCCGCCGATGATGAGCCACCTTCTGTGGCCCGTGTAAGCTCCCCGTTACCACGAACTCCCTCAACCCCAGAGGGTATTCTCTCCATGATGAAATCCACCATAGAAACAGTCTCCACATCCGGTGTAAGCACAGACCCCGCTTCCAAAGCGATGAATCTTTCCGGCTCAACGTCAGCGACAATGGCCTTCCCGGTCTCCAACCTCGTCTTTTCCTCGATGATGTCTCCTCGCCATTAGATGGCTCCTCTACGAGGTGAAAGATAGGCTGTGAAGATATCCTATCCCGCACAGCAATAGTTTGAGGGGCGGAGTCCCTCATTGGCAGAACTTGAGTCCGACCTCCTCGAGCAGACTCAGCTAAGGCAAATTGCATTCCAGCCGACGCGATAGCTTAGCGAAATGCAGGCACTGGAGCCTTCACTTTGGAAACTCGCCGACCTGGCACCAAAGAGAGGTCGCATCAAAAAATGATAGTGAACGACAATAAGTTGAGAGAGAAATAACACTTACTGGACGGGGTCTTGGGCCCAAAACGCTTGTGGAAGGACGCCCAATCGTGAATTCCCACGGTATGGGGTAACACGCGAGCCACCCTATCTTCGATGTCAAAGACGGGAGAAGGTGCACGCCTTTCAGCTGAAAACAAGGAAGCCATGAGATTCAAAAGCAAAAAAAGGAAAAAGAAAAGAACGGACATACGGCAATATACTTACGATTATAGTTCCATTGCTCGGGAAACCCGGTTGGGTCCGCCACCAGGTGCTCGGTTTTGATGAAGAAGTATTTATGCTAGAACCGCCGGTTCGACTTGTAATCCATCCCGGCCATCAACCCTTTGACCCCACGATGCCGCAGATGTATCAGCGTGCCTCTATAGAAGCTGGGTGAAAATAAATGCAGCAGATGGCGAATGTTAACCTCACAGCCGGCCAACTCCGCATACTTCGCCGGCATCAGAAAAACTTTGTACGGATAGGGGAAAGCGGCAAAACTCTTCCGCTAACGGGGGAAGAGGAAGAGAATAACCAACCAAGAACGGGTAGACATAGAAGGCATAATATCCAGGTCGGTGAACCTGAACTATGTCGTCTCCCACCGGAATAATCTCGACGTGAGGAAGTATGCAGTATTTGGACCGGAGGTCGGCTATTTGAGGCGGCCCCGTCTCAGAAAGCTTTTGAGCGGGAGCAGGTTCCTTTGGGAAGTCATTTTTGACCAAAGGATTCTTGGGAACCACCTCCTCCGCAGTGGGGAAACTTTCTTCCTCATCAGCCATGGATTCCTCACAACCGGGAGGAATGGCCACCGTTAAAGGAGTGGCATCAGTGACTCCGTCGTGAATATGGGGGGAATTTAACATGTTTCCGTGGTAAAGTATGTGCAACAAAGTCGGAGAAAGAAGGTATCAGCCGGGAAAGAAATCGGGGAATGAAGTTGAAGAAATTGTAGGAAATCGAAACTGAAGGGTCCAAAAAGAAGATCAAAGAAAAATGATATGTATGCAACGAGGGAAATGCTGAAAGTTTTGAAAATGAAACCCTTCTCCTCTACTTATAGGGTTGGGTAACACTGGAATCGAGGCAAAGAGTCGTCAACGGCACCAAATCCGAAGCGACTGAGGCACAGACATCGCATTGGGAAGACGCGTAATTATGACGCGCGTGGTATGACATCATTTTACGATAACCACATCAACCGCAGCCCCGACGCCTATTCAACCTCGGCCAATTTGATTCGATCGTCACGACCAAATTTCCTTTAAACGATTGCAGACAAGATTCGCTCATCGAGGACGTCCAAGATCACGACCTCAACAAGTAGAGGGACTAACCATATGGGTCAAAATTTGGCTAAGACTTATTACTACAAATGGACGTGATCGAAGAATAAGCCTACCACAGCGTGAGGGCGATTAGCCGCCTTAAGAAAGATTAGGGCCGAGGTCAAGCAGAGGGTGTGAGAATAACGGTAGGATAAGTTAAATTAGAAAGAAGGAATATTCCACTGAATATTCCTCCAGCTGTACTTTTTTAGGATTTTTTAAGAATATCCCATATAAATAGGAAGGGATAAAGAACAAAAAGGGGATCTTCACTTTTTGATAAAAGCACATTGTAAAGGGTTGACTAAGGAGAATATATATATAAAAGTATACGACTATTTGAGTTAATTCTTCTCCCCGAGCCCGGCGAATAGCTAAAGGTATCACAATATTAACACCTCTAATAATAATTATCTAGGGCTTTTTTCATTTTTAGCCCGTGTTAGAAACTTTTTACATGCGGTAGCCGAAAATAAATTTGTATAATTTTGTATATAACATACAGAATATATATATATATATATATGCAAAACATATACAAATATATATATTTTTCGGCTAGTATTTNTCGAAAAAGTATATAATATTTGTATAATTTTTTATATAACATACAGAATATATATATATATATATATATATATATATATATATATATATATATATATATATATATATATATATATATATATAAATTGTTATTATTTTGAGAGCGGCTATACATTATCATTTTTCCGATTATTTAGCTACATGGAGTGTTTTGCCATGCTGAATATGATACTTTAAAATGTACTGGAATTATAAATTTTGTGAAGGAAATTATCTTCACAACGAAAAGGAGATGAACAATGATTTCGATCACTTATGCACAGAAGTCATTTTTTAAATAAATAAATTAGATAAACGTTTAGTCGTCGTTGTTGTCAACCTTCAATAATTAAAAATAACAACAAGGCACAATCCTACTCAATCAGCTTTCACCTAGTACGATTCACATGCATCGTTAATATATAGTCTATTTCCCAGGTTTCCAAACCTTCTTTCAATGCAATGCTGAAAGGACTAAGAGAATAATCACATTATTGGTGCAGCTAATATGGAATTTTGTACTTTGATGTATTCCATTTTTTCATTTCTTGGGGTTTGGTTATTATCAAGTTAAAAGCTCATAGTTGTGATAAATCCAAATTAAAAATAGACTCATCAAAATAGAGGGGAATTTGTGCTCCCCAATACAAGACATGTTAGGCCACAGATTAATGGGTTTTTTGCCACCTTTACCTTTGTTTTTTCTTTTCAACTGAATCAAAACAGGAAGAACGACAAGTTATCTGGCCCCTTGATTTGATTTGAATTTCATAGACAAGGACATGACAAGATATATGTTCGTGTAATTTTTTTGATCGGACAACTATACATCCGCCCCATTATAATTTGAAAATGTCAACTTTCAAAAGTTGATCAGTTCTATTAATGGATATATGAAAGATGGACAGCTGGACAATTAGCATGATAGAAAAGTGTAAATTATCCTATAATTTGTCATGGCCATTTGATATATCTTGTGACATGCTTGCAAATGCTATAATTGTGCTATTTGATATTTTTAGCTATATGTCACTTCATATATAAGAGAAAGCACATCAGCAAACAAGTATAGTAATAGTATTGACTGGCTTGGGATATCTCTACAGTTGTAAGAATAAAGAAAGACTGATTTTATGTATAAGTTTGTTGATTTTGTTGGGATTGGAAGTCGACTTTACATGTCCAAATTCTTCGAAAAAAGAAAATCCAATTTTATCTCTCAATTTTTGACTATAATTCAAAATTATTCTCAAATTGGAGTTAATTAATAATAAGGCGTCAAGGGAAAAAACTACTTTTTCTTAAAGGTCAAGTAACATTATATTAGTAAAAGTTTAATCAAGGGCAAAGTTGATCAATTTCAAACATAACATTGACAACTTGAACCCTTTACCTATTTACTAATGGAAGTTACCTCATTTCACCCCTAATTGCCCACAATTCCCATGTCCCCCTCACTCCTTCCCCACAAAATAGAAAAAGAAAGAGAAAAGTAGAAAGCATACAACGAGAAATGATCTAGATTAATAGTTTGTTTGGCCAAGCTTCAAAATTCTGTTTATTTCGAGAAATATATTTTTTCAAAAGTACTTTTTTCATAAGCAATTTATATTTGGATAATTAATTTGAAAAGCACTTATGAACAGCAATTAGTATTTGACCAAGTTTTTAAAAAGTAATTCTAAATATATTTTTCTCAAAAATATTTTTTTTTAAAAATGCTTTTGAGGCGAAAGTACTTTTTCCTTTGTCAAACAGTTCTAACTTTGGGGTAAAAAATATTTTTTTGAAAGAAAAAAAAACCTTTTTACTTTGGACAAATTTGTCCAAACACAAGCTATAATAATTAAGTTAAAGGTAGATGATCGGGGCAAGAAGTGCAATCATTGTCAGCATATAAAAAGGTTTCCATCAGCCTTACTTGATGTTCTATGTGGGTCTATATTGTTATTATTATACTCAGTATATGTGTCTATCTCTAATGGCTAGCCTGTAAAGATATATAAGAATTCAGCACCAGCAAAATAAAAATCCCCACACTACTCTCTTGTCATGAACTTAATTCTCCTTCTTTTCTAATTATCTTTTCAATATGCATTTCTTGTAACCATCACAGCCCTCCATTAGAGTTAAACAAACAGTATTTTCTTGTTCTTTTCCCAACTTCTACACCATCTCTATCCATGGCTGCCTTGATTAACTATGGAATATCAGAGAAGAAAAGCATGGTCCAAACTGCAATATTTACCATAGAGCTTCTTCTCTTATCAACAGGACTGATCTCTAGTTTTTTCATGCTCAAAAAAGCTATAAATCCGCGCTACTTATGCGACATGTTTCTTGTTAATCTGAGGGAAAGTTTGAATTCTTTGAAGATCTTCTTGTCATCTCCACTATATATCTGTCTCTTTATAAACTCTGTTGTCATCCTTATATTAACTTTCTCCAAATTTCAACACCCAATAATGGAAATTCTCAATGTTTTTCTAAATGAAAAGGATACTGATGATATTCAAACTCAGCCACCACAACAGCATCATGAGAAAGTAGACAAGCCGAATAGAACCAATTCAGCAATTGCAATGGAGACTGTCATGTCATTTTTCAGCCGTTATAATTCCTCCCACCTTTCAGTATTAGAAGATATTCAAGATGAGATGCCCTACAACGTGAAAGACATTGAAATTGATAGTATACAAACAGCATATACTTTTCCAGACATATCTCATTTGAGTGAAGCCAGTGAAATGAAGAAACCACGTTCACCACATCCGCCACAGATTACCAATGCTACAAAAACAAAGCAAACCAACCAAAAAAAGTTTGAAGAAGAAGAAGAGGAAATAGAGGATGACTCATTGGAGGCAACATGGAAAGCAATTACAAACAAGAAAAAGGAGCTGAATAAGTCATTGACATTTAACGATGCTTTATCGATGTCTCGAATAGGTGGGCTAAGAGGGGATATCTCTGTAAGTCCAGAGGAATCCAACAAGAAATTTGATGATTTCATTAAAAAGATCAACCATGAGAGAATACTTCAGAGGCAAGAATCTGATCAGCGATATATGCTAAATCTCGCCCGTTAAGTTAAACTCAGATTGCTTAATTACTAGCTAAACCTAAAACTAGTTTATTCAATACATCTTAATTACTTATACAATGCAAGGCCAGCAAAAGAAGAGTTTTTCTCCTCCTCATCACTAGTACTTCAATACGTCTTGAAATATTTGCAACGTCTTCAATTCAGATTGATTTTACTTTGTTGTTTCTGTAAAGTACTATCACTTGCAGCATTTTCTGGTTACATATTTTGTTTTCTTACTTTGTTTTGTGTGTGCTGTGGTAAACCCAAAAAAATTTTAACAACTACTTTTAATCTGGAATTGGATGCTCACTCAATAAATTGTCTGCATTAATATAGTTTGTTCATCTCTATAATCAGAGACAGACCTAATTAGATTTAAAGGTGACGGGCACATTAGCGAGTTATTCAACCAGTGCTCCCATCGGACTATTAATCTTAAGGGTTCCAAGCTAAATTTTTTATTATTTTCAACATATATATATTCTAAATTTTTGCCCAAGCACGGGTCAAGTGACCCCTCTTCTCAAAGCATAAGTCCGCCTAATTAATAGGACTCAAAAAGTAATGAGTGATGGAGATATCTTAACATATATTTAAAATTTCTTTTTTAACATATATTTCAAGTTTCTTTTTATATAATCAGAGATTCTCTTTTTTGAAAAAGAAATGTTAAAATATACAAACCGAAGAGGTTTGAACATACAAAAGATGAGTAACTAATTCCAATTGCTCCATTCACACGTTAATATGATATTATTAATGTCACCATCTTAGTTGTCGTCGGCCTTATTATATATAAAGCAATTACTTATATTTTTAAATCCTCAACTAATTCTATGTAGGGTATTTAACAATGAATAGCTATATATGGGAAATTTGAAGCTGAGTGCAACTTCAATAGCATTTTTCACCTTTTTTGTAATATCTGTAAAGTACTTTTTAGGTCCCATTTTAAGTAAAATTATAGATGTTGGAGTCAAATAATTTGGCCTATTGACTATTGGATTGGGTCGTTTCGTCAATGGAACTGTTTGAGTTGAAGCGTAGACAGGGTATAACTAACTTTGATTCTATTTATTCTCCTGCTTCTATAGCACGTTTTGATTGGACTAATCAATAATATTCCTCCAGAAGCAAACCAAAATAAGATTATATTAACGACAAGATATACACCAAAGATATAACAGAAAGCTTACAATGTATATATTAATATTCAAGTAATTAAATGGAATTGTATGCTGTAATTGATGGAATTTACATAAAAAGATTCCAGGATCATACTTGTATTAAAATAGTAAATGTTACTTTAATCAAACATAAATCAGAAAATAATTACTTGTTGAGGCGTGTTTAGTTCTACGAGTGCTGGTTGTTGCTCCACGATCTTCTGTTATGATTCATAAGAATTGCAGGAAAAAGGGCAAGTCATCTTTCAGACAACGTAGTTTTGTTTTGTCCTCCAAAAGCAATAACTTAATACAACTAATTTGTGACAGATTTTAAGTTATAAGCTCTTTTGAGATCGATTTAATTAAATGTATTCTTGTATGTAAAATTATACTTTAATATGTGGTTCTTAAATCGTTGTTCTTAGTTCGGTATCTGCTACTCGTGAACGGAGTATACCGTAAACTTTTCTGTAATTAGGTGGCTACCAGCTTATCATGAGGTCCAGTGGGCAGTGAACTAGAACCTGGTATATCGGTCTCCTATCTTTAGATCTTAGGATATTCACATTTGTTTTGTAGTAAAATCTTATGATTTTACATTGTTTTCTAACATAATGAAACATATATAAATTCATGAATAAAAAGTCAATTTCTAACTATATATAACTCTTAACTGTAATAGCTTTTTTTCCCCTTTAAGATGAGATTTTTTGTAGTAGCCTCAAAAATCTTACTTTTGCTAACTCTAGACCTTGAAGAGACTTTATATCACGAATCACGATTCAACGAATTAGTAGAAAAGCTAGTATAGAAGTACATTTTCAATTAGGGGTCGTTTGGTACGATCGATAAGTAAAAATAGTGTTGAGATAAAAGTTTAATACCACCTTATACCTTGTTTGGTTATCAAATCTGGGATAAGTTATCCCGGGATTAAAATTAGTACCGGGATAACTTATACCTTGTATGGGATGGGATAATTAGTATTGGGATAAAAATAGTGCTGGAATAGAAATTATGCAACGCATGTCATTTTTAATATACCAAACAATGTATAAAAAATAATACCAGCATAACTAATTCCAGCATAATTTATACTAGCATAACCTGTATTCAAACCAAACGACCCCTTACTGAGTGAAGAAAAACTCTTAAAAAGATTCAGGGAGAAACGAGGAGTGAAGTATACAAGTAGACGTCAAAGTGGATGGTCTTGAATTGTTTTTGTCCCCCTTTGCCCTATGGGCAGAATTTTAAGTTTAACAAGTATTGTATCTTGCTTGCCCCGTGGACAACACTTTTAACTTATAACTTTAAAATTCTGCCTATAAGTCAATGAGGGTAAAAATTAAAGACACCTCAAAAAGTATCATATTTTTGCAATTTTTAAGTGATTGTTACACAAATAACCGATCAGATTTACTGTTTACTTTTCTAATCATATACATAGATTATACATAATTATATATTTATATTTATACATTATACATGAATTATACATATCGTATACATTCGTTCGCTATTCTTAATTTAAAAGACTAGGTAGACGCTATTTGGGTTAATTCTTTCATTTTTTAAGGAACAAGACAGGCCCAAGCGGTGCGCAGAGAAGAAAAGCCCAGACGCAAGGCGACGTTTTCCGCTAGCCCAAACCCGAATTTATATTTGTATGTGTCTACGGTATTAGGCGCCATTTCGATTCGCGCATCCAAGTATTAGGGTATTTGCTAGGGTTTAGCTGCTTTCCTTGAGACCGCAGAGCGAGCTTTACTTCGTCGGAGAAACAGGAGTCTTAGCCATGGCTAGCACCAAAGTTCAAAGGATTATGACCCAGCCCATTGTAAGTTCTTTTCTGCTTTCCGATATTGACTGTTAACATTTAGATGGTCGATTTAGAACTTTCTCGTTTTCACTCTGCACTAAAATTTTGGGTAACGTTTTTCGTGTTTGTTTTTTGTTGCAGAACCTGATCTTCAGGTTTCTACAGAGTGTAAGTATTTTCGCGTTTGTTTGTGCTTAAATTTTTATTTTTTATTACTTAATGGGTGCTCATGCTCTTAAAATTTATGGACAATTGTTTTCAGAAAGCTCGCATTCAGATATGGCTTTTCGAGCAGAAAGATCTGAGGATTGAAGGACGTATCATCGTAAGCTGTCTTTTTCTTCCTTTTCTAATTTTAGTAGTTGGAGCGTGGATGTTGCATGATGTGTTTCATGTTCTCTCCCAAATAATTCCCTCAACCTTAAAGAACTGAAAACAACATAACTAGTGAGTTAATTGCCCACTGTTCCCTTTAAATAAGAAGGAAGTTTTGCAAGTTACCTTTTGAACCAGACAAAGGTATCCAGCTTTCAAGGTCTAATCACTTATGCTATTTATAAGAACATTTCAATTATGCAGAAGCTAAAAAGGTCCTGATTGTACATGCTACTTCAGAGATCCTTTTTTTTTGTGTGTAATAGTATAGATAATTGTTCGAGTTTATAGCTTACATTTGGAATGCGTGATTGTTTTTTTACTAGCTGGAATAATCTGGATGATGATTCTAGGCACACATTTGGAAAGGACCTTTCACCTGACCAATATTGACTCCTAGTGGTAAAGTTGTTTAGTTTATTACTTTATTTGTCCGTAATTCCGAACCTCTTAATGATGTCATGTCAGAATTGCTTGCAAAGCTTTAAACTAGTCTTTTTTTAAATGGCTAATGAAAGCCATGGTTAGATATCTTATGGTGTAATCTAGGTTGATCTTTTGTAGAGCATCCATGAGTCTGTACCTGGTTTAAGATTACCTAGGTTTGATTTAGTAGAATGAGAAGGACTGAAATTTCAAAATGTTCTGTAGAAAGAACTGAAGAAACAAGAAAAAAGAGCTTTTCATGGTTGAGGCAAGGTATATCATCCAGCTTTTAGGAAGCCACACATCATATTCTTCTTTCTCTGAATTTATTGTCACATGTCAGTCACCTTCATTTGTAGAGATGGGTGCAATTCAGATAGTATCCAATATCTCTTGCAATATTTATCAGTTGACATAAAAAAAGCTCATGCATGGTGTACAAGTTCATGATAGAGATATTGGTAATAACTAATACAGATTTGATCACAACCAATATTCGCTATTATAACACAGGATCTGTGCATAGAAACTCATACTGGTCCTGCTGGACCCAATAATTAGAAGCTCATATGTGCTGTGGCAAGCTCATCGTTGAACTATTGGCAGTTCATTGGGGTAACAAATCCATAATTGGTGCCTGTTACACATGATATATGCCTGCAAAGTTGTATTGGCAAAGAAAGGGCATATTCTTACGTAAACTCCCACTCTAGTTCCTTGAGGCACTAGTAGCTGTAACTTGAATTTGGGGATGGACTGAATTTCCAGTAGTTTGAATGGGCAACTCTAATTTCTAATGTAAAATACTGGCCGACTTATCCTCATTATTGTTTGTCGCCTCATGTTACAGAGCTTGTTATAGTGTGCGGTCACTATTTTGGGGAACTGATTATATCTGAAGATCTCTATGATGATATTTGACTAGTGAATATGAAGCTGATCATTTAGTCTTTTTGTTACTTGGTATAGATGTGTGGCTTAGTGGCCATTCTAAAAATTCTATTTATTTGCAAGATGTGTAAATGTTATTTTTATTTCGTTTTTCATAATAGAGGTGTTCGAGTTACTTTCACGCACCTCATATTTTCCACCATGGACCTGCATCTTCCCACCAAGACATTTATCTATGAACTCTGTCCACCAAGGTTTGGACATATGAGAAGACATCACCGAGCTTTTTTTGCTTATGCTAGGATTTGAATCCTAGTCTCACATGGTCTTTGCACCAGCTTATTGGCTGCTAAGTCACACCCGTCGGAGCAAGCAGTGTAAATGTGTTATTCTGCTCTGTATTTTCGATCATCTTTTGGTCTGTTTAAGTGCTAAAATCTGTTTATCTGTTCATTGTGCCACTTATATATTCTTCATCCTTATATCTGCAAAATTTAATGCCATGTGCTTGGTTGTTGACAAAAAGCCGCCTGGGACTTGTGTGTTGCCTCTGAATTACTGCTTTTGCATCTTTTACATTTTGATAAATTAAGAGTATTAAATATTGCTTTGCCTCTTGCACCTGCATTAAATCCTTTTGGCCAGATGACTTGTCTGATCAAGGGATCAGTACTGATTGACTTGTAGAACTTTGAAGTGTTAATTTCTCCGGAACAAGCCGTATCTAGATACTTCCACGCTACACTATGTGGACTGTGAATAAACATGTGAATACTTGTTTACTAATAGGTACTAATTGATTTGCGGTGTTTAGGGTTTCGATGAGTACATGAATTTGGTTCTGGATGATGCTGAGGAAGTCAATGTGAAGAAGAAAAGCAGAAAACAGTTGGGTGGGTAAAATTATTTTGACCTCTTCCCTCTCCTAGAATTACCAAGGAAACTAATATTTCGATGTGTCTTGTGTCTCTAACCTCTGATTTTTTGCAGGTCGTATTCTTCTGAAAGGCGATAATATCACACTGATGATGAACACGTATGTCGTTCTTCTCCTAATTTTCTGATGTACAATCATATTTTTTATAAATAAAATAGCTACTATATGAATCTTCTGTTATGATATTTCTTCCTTCTCTGATATTCCTTCACCTCCACCCTTTTGGGGGGGGGGGGGGGGTGTCTCTGACTGTTTTACTCTTTTCTTTTCTATGTAGGGGGAAATAATTTTTTGTCAGTTGGAGTACGGAGGTTGGTGACATCTTTATGTGTTCGCGGGATGCGAATTGAAACAGTGTGTCCTCATGAATGACAGAATATGTGCCCTGACTTCTATTTAGATTGTGTATTATGCTATAGGTATATTCGACATGGTTTCATTGAATCAAATGCTTTAATTGTTGTATGAATTTCTATCTATTAAACAGGATCTGGGCTCCTCTGCATTTCTGGATTGCTTGATGGCTTGACTATTAGCAGTGTATATTTTCCAAGTTTCAGTGGGTTGGGTATAAATCAACCACACCCTTTTATCATTTGAGCTCTGGTTGTTGGAATATGTTTGATTTGGAGTCATTGTTCGTAAAATGTTTCTTTGGGTTCGTTTTGCTGCCATGACTGCTGACTTCCCAAGTTATGGCATTAGTGCTTGCTCTCTCTGTGTTTGCGTGTGTGACTAGTGCAATTGATCTTTCTATGCCATCTATTTGCGTGTGACAATTGGTTCTTATAGACAGATCTGGGAAAGAAAAGAGTGGTTGTTGCTAGATAGTAGTAGAATTTAGCTGTGTGTGGCGATTCTTTGTCCCCCGCCCCTGTTTTACCCATTCCAAAATGTTGGTAAGACAATCAAGTGCACGGGATGTGGAAATAACTCTGTGGGCAACCAATATGTGGAAGGCGAAATGACACAGCAATTTATGGAAAAAAGTTATGCTCCAGTAGGGAGCAACTCTATGGGACACCAAAGATGTGGAAATGATGGTGTTAGGTGTGGTAGGTGAGGGATTAATTACAAGGCTTCTCAGATCCTTAGCCAACATTTTCATTTTACCCCTTTATCCGTTTTCTGTGTCTCAATAGATCCATAACTTTCTCTGTGAGATGATGCAAATCCATCATCCCTCAAACGTAAAATTACACGTGTCCAGTGGCATGAAATATTATAGCAATGGACACATCGTGAACACATAAAGAAAACGTATCTTTTGGCAGCCTTCCCAAGATGTTTTTGACCAATTTAGAACATCATATAGAACATATTTTTGTCTAAGTACACCTTTAACATTTGACCAAATTAATCTTAATTTGCTCATTCGAAATATAACGGATTATTTTTAGGCTCTTTATTTTAAAGACAATTTTGGATAGAAGAAGTTAATTCTTTGTTGATATCCAAAAAAAGAGTGTTTGATCAATATTGTTCCTTATTTTTTAGGGTAGGTTTATTTTGGTCCCTCAAATATAATCCTGAGTATATTTAGTCCCTCAAGTATGCTAAAGTGGAGCACCTTTATAGCCTGTTTGGCCAAGCTTTTTTGGGGGCCAAAAGTGCTTTTTTTGGCCAAAAGCACTTTTGGCCAAAAATTGAGGTGTTTGGCCAAGCTTTTGGAAGGAGAAAAAGTGCTTCTGAGGAGAAGCAGAAGCAGTTTTGAAGAAGCAGAAAAAAGTAGCTTCTCTCCAAAAACACTTTTTTGAGAAGCACTTTTGAGAAAAATACACTTAGAAGCAGTTTTCAAAAGCTTGGCCAAACACTAATTACTGCTCAAAAGTGCTTTTCTAATTAATTAGCCAAACACAAACTACTTCTCAACAAAAACACTTTTTTTTAAAAGTACTTTTGAGAAAAGCACTTCTCAAAATAAGCTGATTTTAGAAGCTTGGCCAAACGAGCTATTAGTCTCACTAACATAATGTATTCAAAACTAACAGTGTTACCCAACTCATATTCATGAAGCAAATCTTCTGCTTTGAAGCAAAAGTCTCCTTTTATTGGATAACACAAATTATCATTTTAATTCCTTATTTTTAGATAATGTCTTCTAAAATTTTGACCTTGAAAATATCTCCTTCTGTGGCAGTTTTCAATGAGAAAATTACAACTGTATAGCCGCTGTAAAAATAATAGCCGAAAAGTATATCAAATTTGTATATATATTTTTTTGTGTATATATACATTTTGTATGTTAATATACAAAAATTATACAAATTTTATATACTTTTGTGGCTACCAGATGTGAATAGTTTTCGGCACGGGCTAAAAGTGATAATACAACCTGATCGTTCGTTTGCTTCAATAATATGCCTAGAAGTGATCCTGGCAGCTCTATTTTTTTTTTCAAATTTTAACTTTTCTTTTTGAAAAAATCAACCGAAAATTTTAAATGTGATTATATATATATATATATATATATATATATATATATATATATATATATATATATATATATATATATATATATATATATATATATATATATATATATTTTACAGTGGCTATACAATATAATTTTCTTATTGAAAACTGGCACAGAAGGGGATATTTTCAAGGTCAAAATTTTATAAGACATTATCTAAAAATGAGGAATTAAAGTGATAATTTGCGTTATCCAATAAAAGGAGAGGAAACGTTTTGCTTCAGAGCAGAAGATTTGCTTCATGAATCAGAGTTGGGTAACGCCGTTAGTTTTTGAACACATTATGTCAGTGAGACTAAAGGTGCTCTACTATAGTATACTTAAGAGACTAAATATGCTCGAGGTTATATTTGAGGGACCAAAATAGACCTACCCACAAAGATAAGGGACAATATTGGTCAAAAACTCTCCAAAAAAATCCAATATTGTGGTTCATAAAAAAAATGCTAAAAAGTCACTTAAAGTGGATGGGAGGGAGTACTATTTAGACCATTAGAATCGGTAAAATAATTTCCATCTTTCAATTTTGTTTGTAAATACACTGTATGCCATAATAGCGATGTATAACGGTACTTACAGGCTCCTTGTTTGATGAGTGTCAGCATAAGGGCTTTCTAAGAAAGGGCCATAAGAATTATTTTGTTACAATTTATCTAAATGGAAAAGAAAACGATTATCGAAAACTCTTTTAATTTTGAGATATCATTATCAAAACTATATTTGCTTAAAGAATTCCCCTTGCCTAGTAAATGGAGGGTTACTTTTTTCATCATTTTTAATTGATTAGCTATATTTTTCTCGTATAAATATAAAATATTGATTATCCATTGATTTGCACTGGTTGGTATATTAGTGTTAAAATCATCGTGATCGATTTAGTTGCTAGTGAGAGAAGGGAGAATCTGAGAGAAAGAGGAAATGAAAAATATCTCGTGCAATTGTAAAATGAGCATCTGAAGCTTCTAGACTTAGAGCTCTTTTATTTATATTTGGACCGGATCTTTACAATTGGGCCTTGTGCCATAACTAAAAAAGAGCTACCTATTAATAGAAAGACTGGACTACAAAATATACAACCCAATAATAAAATAAATCTGATTATGTACAAAATAAGAAAACTCTATTATCCAACACAACCCCCCCCCCCCCCCCCCCCGCCAAGTTGAAAGGGGGAAGCACCTTCAACTTGGGGAGAAATCCATGATGCGCCAACCCGGTGAGGGGCTTGGTCAAGATATTAGCCAACTGACTGGTGCTGCTAACAGGGAACAAAGTAATGAGACCTTCTGATAATTTGCCCCTGACGAAATGACAATCAACCTCGATGTGCTTTGTACGCTCGTGAAAGACAGGATTACGAGCGATATGGAGAGCGGATTGGTTGTCGCAGAATACAGAAACAGGAGTCATACCAGCAACACCCAAGTCTTCCAATAGGCGAGTCATCCAAGTTATTTCTGCAACGAGCTTACTCAACGCACGGTATTCAGCTTCAGCACTACTAAGAGAAACAACAGGTTGTTTCTTAGACTTCCATGAAACAGGAATCCCACCAAATAACACAAAGAAACCAGTCACCGACTTGCGAGAATCGGGGCAAGCAGCCCAATCACTGTCACAATACCCATGTAAAGCAAAGTCTGAAGAATTATTAAAAAAAATACCATAATCAGATGTTCCTTTGAGAAAACGCAGCACATGTAAAGCAGCAGAATAATGAGGAACTCTGGGAGATTGGAGAAACTGACTGAGATGCTGGACAGCAAAGCTCAAGTCAGGCCTGGTATGAGTTAAAAAATTGAACTTGCCAACAAGGCTCCGGTACAGCTCTGGATTGGGAAGCAACTCACCATCAGCAGCTTGTAATTTCAAAGTAAGGTCAAGAGGAGAGACCACTGGAGATACCTCATAACATTTATATTCAGCCAAGAGATCTAAAATAAACTTTCTTTGATTTAATAACAATCCATCAGGAGTAGGAGATACCTCTATGCCCAAAAAATAGTGTAAAATGCCCAAATCCTTTATCTTAAATTGTTCATCGAGATAGGACTTTAAATCAGAAATTGCTGACACATCATTACCTGTTAGAATTATGTCATCTACATATACTGCCAAAACAACCATAGACTCCCCTGACCTCTTTGTGAAGAGACTATAGTCATTAAGAGAATGTGTAAACCCCTTTGCACATAGCGCACTTGAAAGCTTAGCATACCATTGTCTTGAGGCTTGTTTGAGCCCATAGAGGGACTTTTGAAGTTTTCAAACAAAAGGCTGCCCAGAACTAGAAGGTGATTCCACAGTGAACCCTTGAGGCAACTTCATATAGACTTCCTCGTCCAAATCCCCATGAAGGAAGGCATTGTTTACGTCTAGCTGAAAAAGTGGCCATTGTTTCTTAACAGCCAAGGCAATGAGACATTTAACAGTGGTCATTTTGACCACAGGGGAGAAAGTTTCATTGTAATCAACCCCGACAGTCTGAATATCACCTCTGACTACTAGTCTAGCCTTATATCGTTCTATGGAACCATCAGCTCTAAACTTAATCTTATATACCCACTTACTCCCAATGGCCTTCTTGCCAACAGGGAGAGGAACTACAGACTATGTCTGATTTCCCTCAAGAGCCTGAAATTCTTTCTTTATTGCCTCTTGCCACTCAGGCACCAAAGCAGCCTGAGAATAGGTGTAAGGCTCATAAAGTACTGTTTGTGTCTTAGGCTGATTAGAGGTAGAACTGGACCCAGGGCCTTGGGGAAAAGATGCAGAGACAGAAGAACAAATATAGTCATTGAGGTAGGAAGGAGAAACATGGGTTCCGGTGGATTTTCTCAAACCCTCAGAAGTTGAAGCAGGAATAATATGATGTGAACTAACAGGAGGTGAATTGACAAAAGAAGGGGGACTAGAAGTCACGGCAGAAGGGGAAGATGAGGAAGAGACATTGGCAGGTTCATTAGAAGGAGATGCAGATACTGGAGAAGAAGGTTCAGGAGGAACATGAATGGGAGAAGGCAATGGTGAAGTAGAAGAAGAAGGAGAAGAAGGAACAGTAAAGTCATAGACAAAATTTGTAGGAGAAGAAGTGGAAGAAGAACCAACAGAAAAATTTACAGCAAAAGGAAACATTGATTCATGAAATATAACATCCCTAGAAATGAAAAATACTCCAGTTTCAAGGTTAAGAAGTTTGTAGCCTTTCTTTCCAAAAGGGTACCCCATGAAGACTGCAGGGATGCACCTGCTACTGAATTTATCCCTGTGTACAGGAGGTTTAGAGGCATATCAAAGGCAACCAAATACCCTTAAGTGAGAATAAGTTGGGGTTTTACCAAAAAGCAACTCAAATGGGGATTTATTGTGAAGCAGTTTAGAAGGGAACCTATTAATCAAGTAGGTAGCAGTTAGCACACAATCTCCCCAATATTTTGTAGGCACTTTAGAATGAAAAAGAAGTGCCCTTGAAGTTTCAAGTAAATGCCGATGTTTCCTCTCTACTACCCCATTTTGTTGGGGAGTATATGGACAAGAAGTGTGATGAATAATGCCTTTTTCAGTAAAGAAAGAAGCGGTGGAAGGACTGGAGCCTAACTCCAAAGCATTATCTGATCTAATAGTCAAAACTTTAGAATTAAACTGTGTATGTACCATGGCAATGGAAGCTTTTAGAATAGGAAAAGCATTTGACTTAGATTTTAACAAATGAGTCCAAGTTGTCCTAGTAAAATCATCCACAATTGTTAGGAAGTACTTGCATCCATCATGCGTGGTGACATGATAGGGACCCCAAGTGTCAACATGTATCAATTGGAAAGGAGTGGTTGTGTGATTGTACTATCTGGGAAAGGAAGTCTGGTTTGCCTTGCCACTGGACAAATATTACAAACAAAATCTTGTTTACCAGAAAGTATAGAAGAAATAGAAGGAATAGACCTTAAATGAACAAAAGGTATATGTCCCAATCTACTATGCCAAAGAGTGTTCATTTTATTCATTGGAGAAATATTTACAAATGGAACAGAAGTGACATAACACTCAACATTGTTCTTACCAAGATCAGGTAAAGTAGAACTATGAGAGCAAGTAAAAGCAGAAGGATGGCTAACAACAGAAGATGAACATGATGAATTGGTAGGTGGCAATTGCAAGATGTAAAGTCCATGCTGTGATTTACCAAACTCCAGAGGCCTCTTCATGGAAAGGCCCTGTATGAAACAGGCAAAAGAGCTAAAAATGAGCAGGCACTTTAATTGTGATACCAACTTGTGCATAGATATCAAGTTGTATTGAAAACTAGGGACTAAAAGAACATGAGACAGAGTAGTATTATTTGACAAGGTTAACTCTCTCACACAAGTTACTTTGACTTTGTATCCATTAGGCAAGGTTACTAAATAAGGAATAGGCAAAGACTTAATGTTGTGAAGTAAGCTACTGTGAGATGTCATGTGGTCAGTGGCCCCAGAGTCCAATATCTAAGAGTTCTTATCAACCTTACACATCAAACAAGTACTTACTAAACATTTAGGTTTATTACTAGAAAAGAAACTGAGGATACCTGCAAAATTGGCAGAAGCAATAAGGTGAGAAGTAGAGTTAGGATCAGACACATGATGTTGTTGAAGTAGTGTGAGAAGCTGGCTACACCGCTCATTTGTCAACCCTGGAATAGTCGAATTATCTCCAGCATTGATAGGTCGTGTCTCATTGAATGGCTTAGGTTCAGGATTAGCAAATTGTTTAGGAGGCTCCAATTCAGTTTGAACATTTGCAGCAGTCCTTCGATTATTCCTAGTGAACTGAAAATTCGGGGGAAAGCCATGCTTCTTATAACATCTCTCCACTGTATGACCAGGTTTATTGCAATAGTTACACACAACACTAGGCCTCCTCGGATCAAAACTGGTTTTAGGCTGGAAATTCTTCTGAAAGGGCTTTTGAAAAGATCTTTGAGACCCCGCTGAGAAGAAAGCAGACTCTGAGCTAAATTGAGAAGAAGAGGGCTGAATTTCTCTTTGTCTTTCATCAGTGACCAGAAGAGAATAAGCTTTGTTGATCGTAGGGAAATGACTCATTATAAGTAAATTGCTTCTGGCATTAGCATAACCTTCTTTCAGGCCCATTAAAAATTGGTACAATTTCTGGTCCTCTTCACGTTTTTGAATGTCTAGCTTGCCACCCCCACAAGTGCAATGAGAATCAGAGTAAACATTCAAAGTACTAAGCTCGTCCCAAACACTCTTCATCCTTGCATAATATTTAGGAATGTTCATAGAACCCTGAGCAATAGAAGCAAGCTCCTTTTTGACTTGATAAACCCCAATTCCACTCGGTTGTCCATATCTATCTTCCAGTTCCATCCACACATCCTTGGCAAGTTGACAATACAGAACACTCTTACGAATAACTGGAGTGAGAAGATTGTGAATCCATGAAATCACGATGTTATTACACCTATCCCATTGACGAAAAATAGGGGAATTTGGAGGAGGTCTCACACAATCAGGTTGAATGAAGTACACTTTGTTCTTCACAGAGAGAGCAATAAGCATGCTCCTACGCCAATCGCTATACCCAGTCCCATCAAAAATGGTACCTACTAGTGAAAGCCCCAAATTATCCGATGGATGAATGTAAAGAGGATGATTATGATCAATTGTATCATCCGATGAGTTATCAGAACCGGATTGACCAGAAGAATTTGGAACCGACTTGTCAGAGATCAATGAACCCATGACTAAGAGTAAATTTAGGGTTTTTGTAATTCACCAACAATACAGCAGAACTGAAGCAATTTTCAACAAAAAAAAACTGAAGCAAATCAGAGTATTTGCTATAATTAGAAGAAATTGAAATAAACTGTCGAAGAAATACCGAACTCCGGCCAAACTCCGGGGAACACAACACGAACAGTTTTCGCCAAAAAAAAATGTCGACGAGATGCTCAGAATTATCCAGCTACACTGCACTGATACCATGTTAAAATCATCGTGATCGATTTAGTTGCTAGCGAGAGAAGGGAGAATCTGAGAGAAAGAGGAAATGAAAAATATCTCGTGCAATTGTAAAATGAGCATCTGAAGCTTCTAGACTTAGAGCTCTTCCATTTATATTTGGACCGGATCTTTACAGTTGGGCCTTGGGCCAAAACTAAAAAAGAGCTACCTATTAATACAAAGACTCGACTACAAAATATACAACCCAATAATAAAATAAATCTGATTATGTACAAAATAAGAGAACTCTATTATCCAACAATTAGTAAGATCGCGCCTTAGATAACTTAGGACACGTGATTAGCTCAGGTTCATAACATTCACCAAATACAAATACATAAGTAAAAAGGTCAAATAAATAGATACATCGGTTTATAATTCAGTAGTAAATACTGTGTGCTCCTTTAAAGACGTGGGTACAAGGCAACTAAGAAGGGACTAATCTACTAAATACTAATCACCACAAAATTAGATTTGCAGCTTGTTTGGATGGTTGTTCCTCATTGTATCGTACTGTATTGTTATCTCAAAGCAATATTTGTTTTGACTGTTTCATTAAAATTGATTGTATTGTATTGTTTAATCCATTGTTCTGGAACAACGAAAAATACCATTTTTTAAAACAACCGATTTTGTGTGGTGGGTTGTTTCCTATTTTTGTTTTCAATTATGCCCTAACTTATTACTCCACAATCTATTTTACCTTTATCTTTTTGTTCTATTTTAACTCTAAATCTTCAACCTATAACCTACTTTGTTTTTTCCCAGATCAATGTTAAAGGTGTTTTGCCGCCTTCTGTTTTATTTTTTCTCCTAATTTATTTTTAACTCAATTCCAATTAGTTGTGCTCCTTTGTTTTGCCTTCTTCTGTATTGCTCCTTTGTTCTGCTTTCTTAAGTTGTTTTGCCTTCTTCTGTTTTGTTTTTTAAATTATTTTTATACATAATTTTTGATAAATTTAATATTTAAACAATTAAGGGTATTTTAGTAAACTTATCAGTTACAGTACATTACGATACAAACCAAACTAAACAATAAAATATTATCAAACAATATAATCTATCCAAATATTGTATTCACAAAACGATACGATACAATACGATATAATATAATATAATATATTATAAAATAATGGGAAACAATGATCCAAATAGAGTGTTAACAATGTATGATCTAATCAGTCTTTAAAAAGAAAAAGAGAAGCAAACAATGGTTAGAACGGATCTATGATCTGATCAGTCTTAAAAGTCATGACTCACGTGAGAGTCATACGGCCAAAGAAAAAGACAAAAAAGCAATAAAGAATAGAAAAGAAGACAGCAGTGCGACTGCTGCGGAGAATCAAAGGAAAGGAGATAATGGCGAAGGTGGAGGAGATTAAGAATTCGAAAGAAGAAGAAGTTAAGCAGCCATTGAACACGGCGAAGAAGGAAGCATTAGGATGGATGGAATGGCTAAGAGGCTGGTTCTATTTGGTTTTCGAGATGCTTTTTCAAAGGATATCGGCTAGTCACTTGCACAACCCTATGCCTCTCCCTCCTATCAATGATCTCACTTGCATCGTCACTGGTTCTACCAGCGGCATCGGCCGTGAAATCGCTCGGTATGCTTTACTTTCTGCTTCTTCCACTTTGCTTTCGCCGTTTGTGTTTGCATTTTGTCTATTGGGTTGAACACATTTTGAGATTCTGCGCCAATTTTAAGTATATTGCACGCACCTCTACTACTGCCCAGTAACTTGTTACAACTCACCTAGTGCTTATTGTCTTTGCTGCAATTTGAATCCTGGTTCATTGATTGCTAGGCCACAATCGTGGTTATGTTGATGCGTACCTTCTTTGTGGTGAATAATGTCGAACCATATAAGAACCCAAGGGTGTGGTAGAAGCGGAGGAGAACCATGAGATCTCAGTTTCAAACCCAAGGGACGCAAATAAACTCTAGGTGAGGTGGGTGCGATGATACATACGTCCTTTGTGGCCAATAATGTTACACCATATTAGCACCCAAGGGTGTGACCTAGTGACAACGGTGAACCTTGAGGTTTCAGGTTCAAATTTCAGTGGAGGCAAATAAACACTAGGTGAGGTGAGCAGAGTTACCTGATACTGGTAGCAGGTACTCGGTGGAATAGTCGACGTGCCCACAAGTTGCCGGACACCACCGTAAAAGAATATGTGTGATAATAATGTTACACCATAAGCTTTTCTATGTTCCTTTTTTTTGTTTGTATTATTATCTTCATTATATTGTTGATTCTGTTAATCTCTTATCTCTCATCTTCCAGATACAAGGATTAAGTACAAGTTCTAAACCATTTGCTCTAATGTATAAACATTTTTGCTTTTGCATTAGACAGGCAGTTGGCCGAATCAGGAGCACATGTTATTATGGCTGTCAGGAACACGAAAAATGCACAGGAATTAATACGGAAATGGCAGGAAGATTGGTCTGGCAAGGGCCTTCCGCTCAACATTGAGGTATGTTGTCTTTCACTTAATAGTAGTACATCTAGGAAGAAGTAGTACAGCTTTCTAATTTATTACAAATGTTTAAGTTTCATGAAATTTTTGAAGTTAGTGTTAGTGAATCTCTTTCGCTGTCATGAGAGACTTGTCCTAAATGAATATGGTTCGCATTTGTTGCAAGGTCATGGAGCTTGATCTTCTCTCTTTGGATTCTGTTGCACGATTTGCAGAAGCGTGGAATGCCCGCTTGGCACCATTACATGTTCTCATCAATAATGCTGGCATATTTTCAATAGGGGGTTAGTGCTATTTTAGTTGCTTCTTATTAATTGATGTTAACCAAAATGGCCACACTTTTTGTGCGATATTGGAGCTATGATACATTGAGAACAACTATTAGGTTTCAGCTGTTTCATAAAAAAATTTGTTTCTTGATATCCAGTTTTAATCTTTTCAAATACTAAGCGTGTTTGCATCTTTCAGAAGTTTCATCATGTGGTCTAGTTTTTTGTTTGTTGTCTTAGTTTAGAAGTTTATGGTCTATGTGGAGCATTTATAAAGATCTGTTTGAAAAGCAAGGCACTATATCTGTAAATATGATAAATCATTGTATATCAAATTCTCGTGACACCAAACACATCAACGATTGATTTTTACTCTATATACATATTCTTCTAGAATGTTTCTAAAGTTGAGATGATAATAATCCTAAATGGGCCTTACTAGCTTGAGGCAGGTCTACATTTTGAATTCGCTAGGGCTACCTGGTAAATACGAAAAAAGTTGGTTTATGATTTATGTAAAATAAGAACTCCATAAATGCTTGTTTTTTACTCTAGTCTTTGGATGGGATATTCTAGAGAGATTCTGAATGAGAAATTCTATTTGATTAGTTACTTGGTTGATTTGGATAAAATGAGAGGATGTCACATATATAATTCCGAAGTGGGAAGAGCCTGTAGCAGCAGCATCTAGGTCTTTAACTGGATAATCACCTAATCATGCTTACTTCTTATGAGCTCAAGCATGGTGATATAGTATAAGTGTAAAGTAAAATGTTTTTCTACTACCCTAGAATAAGTTGCAATGGTTAGTCTACATTTCTCAGTCAAAACACAGTTTACTGTTGTATCTATGGAATTGGTTATCTTAACAACTATAAGTTTATGATTGACATTTGGATATGCACCTTCAGATATGTTCCTACAACTTTTTCTTCCTTTCAAGAACTACAATTAGATGTTCATCATGTTTACATTCATGGGTGTGCTAGAACTCTTGATAATGATCATGATCAGAGGTAACAAGAAAATCCTACATGCCGGTCACCTGTCCTGTATTAATGCAGTTGCCTTAGCCTGCCTTCCCACTTTGGCCTGCATTACCATGTTTCCTGCCAATGCACTAAAGCTTGGCTAGTGTGGGTCTATTTAGCAGTTTAAGCATGGACATACATAGTGTCGGCAATAGAAATACGTTATAACTTTTAACCTGCTTTCTCCTATTGATGGAATCTGAATGAATGATAGCCGAGTGAGTGGACTTGCTTTTATCTGGAAACTTGTGAGATTTTGCTTCTGAGTCTTCTAACTAAGCTAATGAATCATGCTGTTTCTTTTACAGAACCACAGAAGTTTTCAAAAGATGGGTATGAAGAACACATGCAAGTGAATCATCTAGCTCCGGCGATGCTTTCGATATTGCTTTTACCATCACTTATTAGAGGTTCTCCGAGCCGAATTATTAATGTGAACTCTACGGTAAGTCTTAGCAATATGTCCCGCTCTAGATGGATATGTTATATGCTCAATTGCTTCTCTCCCCACCTTTTGCACTAAGTTATTGCTATAAATGATTCCCATTTTTCCATGATATCCACGAGATACTTTAAAATAAGTTGCAAATTGAAGTTTCAGCACTGGTGAAAATGTTTATCTAGTATTCATTAATTTGGGATAGTATAAAGCATAAGCTTGGTTGAAGCAATGATAGACAGCAACGTGTAGGTGGTTCAGCATGTACTTCATTATTTTTGTCCTTTTCTTTTTGGAAGTCTTTGCCTTTTCATGAACAGTCTGAGCAGAAAATTTTACTGCTTGGGAAATTGAAGTCGCTTGGCCTGGATATTTGTCCTTTAAGATTTCTGGTGTATGTGTTAAGAATACAAAAGAACAAAAAAAGGGATGCACATTGTTAGGATTTGCGGCACTTTGCTACATAATGGATCGAGTAGGTGGATTTATGACCTAAATCATTATATTGGATATGAAAAGGGAAAAAAAGATGATGTAGCTAAGAAATCCTATAATCATGCCAAATTTGGGATTGAAAGTGAACTAAAAAGGACAAAGTAGATGTTCTGCTGTAGCTTTAAGGTGTAATAACCATTAAGTCTATTCTCCAGCAAAACCAAGTCTAGAAGTTTGAGGAGGGGAAATAAATTTGTCTTTAAATTTAAGTGATTGCACCATAATATGTTGGAAGTCTAAAAAAGGATAAATTTTCTTGCAACTATTTGTTGGATTCTGGAGTAGGTTTTCCATTTCAGTGTATCGCTATTGTCATGCCAGCTGACAGGAATATAGTTTATTTCGTCTGTGTAGATGCACTATGTTGGGTTTGTTGATCCAGAAGATATGAATGTTGTATCTGGAAAGAGAAAGTACACCAGCGTAGTGGGATACGGAGGCAGCAAGCTTGCTCAGGTATTATCTAAAAAGTTATTGCTATTACCTGCTAAAGGTCTTTTGCTTGTTGTTAGTGTTAATTGAGATGCTACAAACTGTTCAACCACTGCACTAAAGCACCTCAACACAAGTGGCTGCCTAGTTATACTCCATTTTTTCCATGTTTCACAAAGCTTACATTCTGCCTATTAAATAAAGCTTAGGAACCTGACTTTTGCCATATTACGCCCCTTCCATGGTCTGCCTGATCTGACTCACACAGGAGCCAAGGGGACTGAAGGTAGCACATTCTGTATTGTTTTAGCACAATCTCACTAGTTTTTGTGCATAATAGTACAGTTGTAGTTTAGGAGCATACATGTAAATCTAAGTCTAGAGCTGGATAGAGAATACTTATTAGATATCATCCAACAGATGCAACTGAAAGAAGTTGAAGTGTTTAGCTTATGAAAAGTAAACATATCTTCATCTTTTATTACAGTCTATTTGATTATCTCGAATCTTTATATACACATTTTCTTTTTCTGGTTGTCACCTTGTGATATTGAGCTGAATAATCAAATTGTGTAGAATTCGCCATTTTGGAGTAGTTCTAGTTGATGGAAAAAAACCTTATTGTTCTAGTTTGGTGTTTGATTCCATATACGGAGTTTTGAAGACCTTCATCAAGTTACTGCAGAATATACTATTTAAATGAGGCTACAGTATCTTAACCTTAGCTGTTTATTTAATCATAACTAAAAGAACATGAATTGTTCTCTATTTAGTAAAGGTTATGATTTATTATGGCAGTATTAAAAAAGTCTTTTGTTTGCTATTAGCTATGCTAAGAGTTGCTTGAATTGTTGAAATCTTTACTTTTTATGTAGAGCACCTCACATATCAGTTGCTGTGGATGTGTACTAGAACTTTTATCATGCCATGCAGTAGTTGAATACATATCAGTTTCCATTTGATTTAAAAAAAAAAAAAAAAGAATGTCCTGGCTTTGTTGATTTGCTCTCCAGTAACTAATCCTCTTTGGTTACAAGTGCAGATTATGTTCAGTAGCGTCCTTCACAAGAGGCTACCTGCCGAAGCTGGCATAAGTGTAGTCTGTGTTACTCCTGGAATTGTTCTAACCAATGTTGTAAGTCTAAAAACTAAAGCTATTTTCTCTCTAGTTGCCTTCTTTTATGTTATTGAGCTCTTGGCTGTGTCTTGATGTACTCGTGTAGAACGTGTGTGATAAGAGTGTGGGTGCTTTGTGCAGGTCCTTCAATAAACACTAAAAATTAGTAAAAAGCTAGACGTACTCGTCCTGGATCCTTCCATTATTTAGTGCACATATATATTTGACTTGAGGAGCCTCATATTGTTTCGATTTAAAAGATCTCTAGAAGAAGTTCTGGTCCCAATTAAACATGGACATCCACTAATCAGCCTTAACATGTTCCACTCTAAATGCTAAAAGAACCAATTGAGTTGAGGTGAGATGTTGCTTCATGTGGTGCCTCTGGAAGATTTATGTTTGATGTAAATTGTGTTGGTGGATTCTCAGTTAGTAGAATTTTTTTTCAAGCTTGTCGTGTATTTAGTTGCTCAAGGACGAAACTTAAGAATGCTGCCACACCTTTCTTGTTCAGATTAAGCTCACAGATTGAGATGTTTTTATAACAGATAAAAATTTCAGTGCCTTATCTTTATCCATACTGATAATTAACTCCAATTCCCAATTTCCAAGAGTGACCACATTATCTGAAAAAGAAAAAGAAACCCAATATTGTCCCATCTACCTATAGCATGAGAAGTAAATGAACCTAAGGATGCAAATACTCTAACTATTAGTACCCAACTGAGACATCTGGATATCTGGAAGTTTGTAAACGACCTCAAAAATGTCTTTTTCTCATGAGCAATGGTTGCTTTGTTTATCTCATCCCAAAACTCTCCTCTAGCTTCCACCTTCAACACCAATTCCTGCTAATAAAATATTTTGCAACTTTCAGCTATTTCTTTTTGATGATTTGACTGCCACGAAATTGCAAATTCTTCTTCTCTTTTTTTAATTTTATTAAGTATTTGTCTTGACATGCAAGTAGAAGATATTTTCTCTTTTGTAATTAAAAAATTCCATGTGAGTTAACTGCCCTATCCCTAGTTGGTCCACAAATTCAGAACTCGAGAGAGTATGGACCCGATCTTCTACCCTATTCCCACTTAAATACCTCTTTTTCAGCCTTTTGGACCCCTGAAAAGAAAAAAGAAATTTGAAATAAAAAATAAAGATGGCAAACGGGGCTATCTGGTAAGTGCCATGATTCAAACTTGTGACATGCGCCTTATTTTACATCCCGCATTGCCTCCTTACTGCTGAACCAAAACCCTTGCCCCTGGGGGCCGTAAATGTAAGATATTTAAGTAGACTTGATCTTCATATAAATCGACTTTATGCAATTCAATGAACAAACTAGTAGAGTAAGCGTATCTCTTGAGTCTGCTTGTTGGCCAGTTGTTGATGTTATTCTTTGATGCGTCTCAGTTTTTCATTTTATTACAGCTCCTCCCTAGTTTCTCTCTGTAACATTCCTAACTTTATACATTAAGGTCCCAGAGTGTATACACTTTCAATCTATTGTAAAATTATCAGTTCATAAATCTGTAAATATATGTAGCAGTTTTAGTACTACTTAACTAGTTGTACCACCAACCTCTATGGCTTCTTAATGCTCAAGTTTGAACACTAAGCAAGTCGAAAATTGTTATGTTGGACAATTTCATTAGACAATACCACTCTGCATACGAGAAATCCATGTCATATCTTGAAAATATAGATTCTTGCTGATAAAGTGTACAAGATAATCTTGCTTCGTGTGTTAGGATGTGTTAAGCTTGTAATGTATACCACAAATCTTCTTTTAGTGGCCACCTTCATCCGCAAACAAAACTAGTAACGTCTTAGTCCTATGCTTTACAGGGGCGTATCTAGCTCTTAGTGTATGGGTTCACGTGAACCCATGCTCCTTTCCCTAAATCATGTATAACAATGTTGTATTTTTTCAAAATCACTTAAATATATGAGTGTGCACTATGCTCAAGGACTCCTATGGAGCAATACTTATTGGGTACACATCTACAAGTGAAATTTGCGGTTCAAAACCCACTCCGGACGATCTTGTTTTCGACATTGAGTATAGATATATATATATGTGAAAATCAATAAAATTTCAAAAAGTATAATTTTGAACCTATAATTTCAAAAGTTTAGTGGGTTCAGGGTAAGAGACTAAAGTAAACCCGTCAAATGAGAATTCTAGATCCATCTCTTTATAATGTAACCCATCCTCTTGAAATTTTGGATCCACCTCTGATGCTTTAGGGGAGTCATTTATGCTTGGAAGTATATAATGGGTTATGGGTGGTATGTAAGGTTTTTTGTCAAATTTCTATGATGAATATCTAAACCATATTTCGATTTTGACATATCCTTAAGAGCCTGTTTGGAAAGCCACCTTGGAATTGGATTTGGGTGTAATTGAGTGTAATTACACAGTTTGGCATGTTTGTTTGGCCCAAGATATTACTTGGTCAGCATGGAATTGGGGGTAATTGGAGGGGTGTAATTACACTCTCCAATTCTCAAGGGGGAGGTGAGAATTGGTGGTAATTACACTGTGTAATTACAAGGTTGCTTTTTAGTTTCTTTCCTTTTTGTTTTTATTTTAATTTATTTTCTTTATAACTTTTTATTTTTATTATTTTAATTTTTTAATTTTATTTTTACTTTTTAATTTCTTTTGAAATTTTAAAATATATTTTCTTTGTACATTATTTATCTTTTATTTCTCTATCTTTACTTCTTGTGATTCCATGTAATTGCTTATATTCTATTTTTTATTTATTTTATTATTCTATTTTTTGAAACTACACCTCCTAATATTAGAAATAATGAGTCATTAATAAACTTGGCATATAATGAGTGATGCAATTAAAGTGGAACTTCGTTGTTAAATGTGGTTATAAACTTATCATGTTTCCTATCTTAAGTTGCAGTGGGACTTACTATTATTATGTTGGAATTTGACATAAGTTAAACTATTTTATTTTTTTTGAATTTTTGAAATTGTGTTATATTCATGGTTCCAATTTACTTGTTTTGTAGTATTGACTCATATTGCATGTTGTTCATTTTCTAGTTAGAATTGGTAGATTAGTTTTGTCAAACATTTGAATAATGTTATGACACTATATTTATAAATATTAATTTATTTTATCGAACATGAATTCCATGATGTTCTTACAAAACCTATATTTTATTTAGTTTTTGTAAGTATCTAAACTAAATATTATTAATTTAATATATATATATATATATATATATATTAACAATATTAGTTATAAATATATGATTATTAATTAATGTATATTCACGAAAAAATATACATCTTAAATACCAAACATATTATCATTTATACTAATAAAATCTTATAGGTATATATTTATTATATTAATTATTAGTTTTGATAATTATTTAATTTAAAATTTAATCTAACTGTATAATTACACTTGTGCAACCCAATAGTAAACTTGTAATTACACTATGACAAACAAACAGGCTATCGTAATTACACAACTGTGTAATTACTAGGCTGTGTAATTACTACCCTAGTAATTACACCAATTCCAATTACAAGGTGGCTTTCCAAACAGACTCTAAGCGTATTCTGAGCTTGTAATTGAGTATTCTGGCAGGATAATAGATGGTAATGATTATTCAAATGGTTAAATTTACCATAACTCTGTTGTTTCCCTAAACTATTATTTCAAGTTCATTTACAGTTGACTAGGTCATGTGATCCATTCCCCTTCACTAAGCTAGTTAGAACCTTGCCACGGACAAAAGCATGGTATTTAAGTAGAGAAGGGTAGAGGGGAAGCCCATTGTCGAGTTTCTAACCATTGTGCCAGTTGACCCGGGTTTTTTCGGTTACCCCAAAAAGAACAAGAAAAAAGATCTAAATTTCTTCGACATGATTTTCTTCTTTTTAGTATCCATTCTTTCCATTCCTTTTCTATGACATCGTTTTACAAATGCTAAAGTTCGAGTTTACACATTCAAAAATTGCAGGCCAGGGATCTTCCTCAGTTTCTGCAAGTGGGTTATCGTCTAATACCTTATTTTATATTTAATGCAGATGAAGGTATGTTATTCTTAAGTCCTAATACTTTTTCTTGTTTAAAGATTCACTGTGCACATTGCATGTTCTTGCAGTAAAGGAAAAGAATAAAATGTCTCATATCTTTCTTTACATTGTGTCGCATATTAGAGTATTGAGGCTTAGACTGCAAGTTTTTCCCTGTTTTCTTCCCACTGCAGAGCCAGTTTCCTCTTTCTGTAACACCTGGTGGAGGGGGTGAGGGTTCCTTGACTTGAGGAAGTTGGGCTTGTGTAACTACACAGCACGGACCTCATAGCAGTTTCAGTTTGCTGTTTACCGGAGTGTCCCTACTTAAAAGTTATGATTAGTTTCTATGTGATTCTTCATTCAATCAATCATCCTGTAGTCACCAATACTATAGAAATTTGAAGAAATAACAACTAGACAATACAGTGCATGAGACCTAATATTCTTGTAGGCCTAGTATGACCGCATAATTGTCGGATGTACTTCATTGACTCCATACACTACTAATAGCCTGTTTGGCCAAGCTTCTTTTTGGCCAAAAGTGCTTTTTTTTTTTTGCCAAAAGCACTTTTGGCCAAAAATTGAGGTGTTTGGCCAAGCTTTTGGAAGGAAAAAAAGTGCTTTTGAGGAGAAGCAGAAGCAGTTTTGGAGAAGCAGAAAAAAGTAGCTTCTCTCCAAAAGCACTTTTTTGAGAAGCACTTTTGAGAAAAATACACTTAGAAGCAGTTTTTTAAAACTTGGCCAAACACTAATTGCTGCTCAGAAGTGCTTTTCAAACTAAAGCCAAACACAAACTGCTTCTCACCAAAAGTACTTTTGAGAAAAGCACTTTTGAAAAAAAGCACTTCTCAAAATAAGCTGATTTTTTCAGCTTGGCCAAACGGGCTATAAGTCGAACATATCAACTTAGTTTGATAGTTTTCTGCAGTGGTAGATGATACTTTTTTACAAGGAAAGAAGACTGCGAACAAACTAAGAATAATTTGACCAAAATGGAAAAATGAGAAAATGAACTCAAAGGGAGCTTGAAAAACTATATAAGTTGCTTAAAGTTAAATAAATAAGTAGTAGTGGTATCTCATCAGAAAGATAAATTGAAGGAAGCGATAGAAACTGCTCCATGCATGTATTCTTGTTGTGGTGTAAGGGAAGTTCAACTGGCGATTATTTTATATAATTGCTTGGTTAATTGGAACGTGCAGTGTGATTGTTTTCCTAATGCATCCCCATGCATATAGCGTAAAACGTACTCAAATTAGTCAGTTGTTGCAGGCTCTAGAAGTACCTTGTTTGCAGCAACAGATCCTCAAATATCCGAGTATTGTGAAATGCTGAAAGCAGATGATTGGCCAGTCTGTGCTTACATTTCTCATGATTGTCGTCCCACAAATGCTTCTGAAGAAGCACATAATGTCGAAACTTCTTATAAGGTCTGGGAGAAGACGCTAGATTTGGTTGGCCTTCCTTTAGACTCAGTAGAGAGGCTTATAGAAGGGGAAGAAATCAAATGCCGATATGGGAATTCCCAGGAGTAACTCCATCTGTGATGGGATGTAATGCTAGTCTATTGGACTGGTTCAGACAGCATTCCACTGCACACGAAGTTTGGCGCTCCGCAAGGTCATCATGCCTTCAACTTTCTCATCTCTTGACCTGTTTCAGTATTCAAAGGAACAAATGGAGCATGTTGTAGAAACCTGTATTACGTGATAGAAACTTTTTGGCTTTTGCTAATGTTTACGTGCAAGATTTTGAATGCGTAGGTTTCTTATATTTCAGCTTGTAGTCGTGTAACTGATGACACAGGCATGTATTTTTTTTCCTGTTCTTTGCTTAAGGTCTATGTACGAGTTCTTCAGTGGAATCCTTTTCCCCGTGTCTTAAGTCCACACTGACTTTTTCGGTTTGTTGCGCCAATGCTTGTGCGAGAAATCATAGAAAATTGAATCAACTCTATTGCCGCATGAATATGTAGCAAAGATGTCCATTACATGTTATACCTTAGTATAAGAAAAATTGGCTTTTGTCATCTGATAATGGCAAATATTTAGTGCGCTTCTAACGTATTGCTAAGAGAAATTTTGACACACAGTTACGTCTCGCACTGACACTACTATACATTGGTCTTGTCTGATTGCACGGAAGGATGCTACTGCCTTGGTTAAAATATCATGGTATAGCCAGTTTTCACACTGGTCAATGAAAAATAGTCAGCGTTTATCAAGTCAATGAAAAATAGCCACTATTTTGCTGCAACAGGGACCAGTCCAGTATAATATACGGGAGTTCTGGTGCATTTGTGTACGAACTCCAGCATATTATGCTGGACCGGTATACTTTGCTAACTCCTGTAAAATTTGCGGGAGACTGGAGCACCAGTTATACTGGACAATTATACTTGCTGGAACTCCCGTAAAATTTGCGGGAGTTCCAGCATAATTATGCTTGAACTCCCGTAAAATTTGCGGGAGTTCCAGCATAGTTATCCTGGAACTCCCGTAAAATTTACGGGAGTTCAAGCATACTTATGCTGGAACTCCCGTAAAATTTGCGGGCGTATTTTTTCGGATTTTGAACAGTGCTTTCGCTCAGATTTAAAGTGGTTAAATTTTGATGACTTTTGAAACTTGACTATTTTTCAACGACCAGCGGTAAATCTGGCTATATTTGAATTTCTCCCACTGCCTTGTCCACAACTTCTCTTTCATTTAACCAAATATTTGAGGTGGTTGATGTTGGCCCAAAGTTTTATATATGGTGATGCAAATGGGCCTTACCCAATTTGTTTTTTTTCTTTCTTTTTTCCACTTTTCGGGCTGTGTCATAGGGCTGTAACCAGTAGCTGTAGCTGTAGGCTGTTTCCTATGAGAACTCAAAAACTCATCTTTGACCTGTCTATCAACTCTGTTCTCAGCAGCTGCATTAAATACACTGCACGGACTTTAAAACGTGGCATCTATTGATTCGCCAAAAATCAAATCGTTGTTTGCGGGCTTCCAGCAAGAAACTATTTGACTTCTCGTCCCCAAACCAAAGAAAAACCAAGAAAACAGAAAAGCCCAAAGACACCCCCAACTTTTGCTATATCTATAACTTTAAAAAAAAGAACAAACCTTTACTCTCCATAATTTGGATTTGTAACTGCGCCTAAACGTGCATTTGTACCTCAAAGGTTTGTAGTAGAAGCACTTCTCTTTATCCGTTGGTAGTATTTTTTTTCAAAATGATCAAGAATTTCAAGTAGAGTAAGCTTCTTCGTTTTTTCATCATTCAACTTCTGCTCAAGTTTGTTCTTCTCGTCGTTAAGTTTGCCCCACACCCCCCACCCAAACACAAACGTATTCTCTCTGTTTTTCTGTTATTTGGTAATTCTTGCTTAGCAAATGTTCTTAGTTTTCAGCATCCTTTAAATAAGCTCTGTTCTTTTAGCAGAATCCTTTTTTTCTCACTTGAAATTTTGTTCTCAAGTTCATGGCTTCAGTTGCGTAGTCCAACTCTGCTGTAACTTGTATGTAAACTAGAAGATGCAGGAGAAGTGGGTTGTAACTAAATTTGAGGAAAAATCTGTAAAACATAGTGGCATTTAATAATATTATTTACAGATTATTAAAGATCAGTTAAAAAGCTTAAAATATACTCTGTCTATCAGTATATTTTAAGTTTCTTAACTGATCTTTTACCTCGTTATCTGCATTTACATATATTCTTGAGCTTCTATACTGCTACTTATTATGTTGCTTCTATTCTTTTTTCATCTAATACCTCAAACAGATCATTAATTGTACTGTGCATTCTCATTTATTATGGGGTATATCAATGTTTTCATGAAACTTTTTCCATGTGTTATTTGCTTATCATTAATTGATGAAAGAGATAAAAGTGGAAAAATTATTTCTGATGTGAACTTATTCTTGAATTGTGTAGGCCCTATTTTTGCCTACTGAAATGGAAACAAAACTGAAGGCAGAGAAAAAACATGGTGGTGAAGCCTCAACTCCTATTTCTATGGCTTCTTCAAATTATTCAAAAAGGAGAAGCTTCAGTAGACCCTCTTGGCTTCTTTGCACTGTTGCTGGTAAATTATTCAGATAATTTTTACTCTGCTTTTTCTCTTCTGTTAATTGTACACCAATATCATTTCAAGAAAAAGGGTAAGAAAAATACCCAAATATATACTACTTTTTACTATCCATTATATTTGAGTATCATTCATACCTTTGCCGTTATCATATAGTTTCTTTTTTCTTTGACATAACTGAATTTAAACTATAGTCAAAAGTAGATAGATAAACTTGGATTTTTTTTCTATATATTGACACATAGGATCTGTTATCGTCAGAGGCAAATACAATGTATGAATGACCTTGAAATAATAAGAGTGAAATGTTTCCTAGTATAAAGATGTAATTTGAAGCTTTTACTCAAGTATAATTTGTTTTACACCCATATTTGACACATAGAAAACCTTTTTTTTTTTTTAAAAAAAAAGAAAGTATATTGAATGCTGTACCGTAATTTGTTTATTTGTTGTAGTGGTAATATGGTAGACTAGTAGTAAGAACATAAGTTTGAAAATTCAAGATTGTAGTTTTGGGGGTCGTTTGGTATGCGGGATAAGGTGGGGATAGTATAAATTTGAACCCAGACTAAATTGTGGATATCCTACCTTATTCCGTCAAACTTGGGATTATTTTATCTCACTTCCATGGATTATAATTCAAGACTATAAACTTGGGATAATTTAGTTTGCGTACCAAACGGATATAATTCCAGGACTATAATCCCGAGATAATTTAGTCCGCGTACCAAATTACCCTTAGGGGTTGTTTGGTAGGAGGGATTAGGTGAGATGTATAAATTTAATCCCAAACTTAATCCAAGATATCCTATCTTTATCCCACCTTACTCAAACTTAGAATTATTTTATCCTACCTCCCATGTGGTATAAATTAGTTTTGGGATTGTAACTCCATGGATTATAATCCGTGTACCAAACGACCCCTTAAAGATTGGACTAGTAATGGCAGAAACATAGAAAGAGAAGAGTGATTTTATTTTGTGCCTGACACAATTCTTTTTATCTCACATATTTGTGGACCTATATCTTACACATCTGGGTCCACAAAATTCTGGGACCACATAGTTGTGAGACAAAAAAGAAGCCTCACACAACTCTTTTTATCTCACATATTTGTGGACCTATATCTTACACATCTGGGTCCACAAAATTCTGGGACCACACAGTTGTGAGACAAAAAAGAAGCCTCACACAACTATTGTCAGTGGTGTGAGGCACAAAATAAATAATTTGTAGGGGAGTGGGGTCCATTATAGTTTAGGTGATGGGAACATTTCTTTCCCTAGGGAAATGACTATAGTGTTTACCTTTCTTTTGGAAGTGTATGGGGGAGAAGGGTATCATTCTGAAATGAAGGGTCACTTTCTTCACAGATATATGAATTATGATAGAAACAGAAAGTTAATTTGAAAAAGCTGTGTCCTTTTGCTATTTATTTATGTTCTCTTGCGGTTTCTGTCTAAAGACTTGAGAGAATCTGCCTAAACTTTTTTCAAAATTTGAATACTAAAATTGTTTTCAAATGGAGGGGACTACTGATAGTAGTATTTACTTTTATTATCTGATGCCGTGTTGCAGAAAGAAAACGATTTCTGTTTTTCAAAAAATGACAGAATCTTTTCTTCTTTTCTGAATCTTTATCTGTACATTAGAGGCAATGTAGCTACCTTTAATCCTTTTTTAGTACAAGAATCCAATGTTTGTTATTTTGTTTCTAATTCCAAAGTATGAAATCATGTGCTTTGGTTCACAAGAAAACATAAGTTATTTTGACTTGTGAATGTTTGTGTGATAATCGATATGTACAAACTTACAATTTAGTACGTAGTAGCTTGTGAGACTTGCCATTATTTTAATGGCAGATAAATAAATATTATCCGTGCGGAGGATATTGAGATAGAGGGTGTTTTATTTTTAAATAAAAATAAATATTTCTTTATATCAAAATAACAAATCTTCAATTATTTAAAATAGATATATGTTCATTATTAAAAGAATAAACTTGTTACACACATGGGTCAACTCATCATTCTTGGACTGATCTTAACAAGAAATTGTAATTCCTTTTTAACAAAATTTACATATTCTCTTATTTACATGTCCTTTGTAATTAAGTTTTCTTTTCTACCCAAAAAAAATATATGTTCTCGGAATACATAAATCAGAATTTTATAGTTTTCTTAGTTAAATGATTTTTTGAGTAAGAGTATATAGAAAAAAAAACTTTTGAGAAAATTATAGCATAAAACAAAAATTCCTCGTGTAGAGATAATTATTCGTGCTTAAACGTGCACTAAGCTACCGCTATGCTTTTTAGGGCGGAGGAAATATTGGTCTAGGACCATGTTGAAAGTCTATTTTTGAGTTAATTGATATGACGAATGATATTATGCTAATATGGATCAATCAAATGTAACCACTTTGACTAAAGATTTTTACTTCATATTTGATCAATTAGTAATTTCCTAAGCAAAGAAATAAAATGTTTTTATTAATTGAGAAATTAATGTTTTATACCTCGGAACAAAAGAAATTGCGGTTTCACCAATGCTATGTTTATCTTTTCCTGGCAATTGAAGTAAACATATTTTGCTCCATATTATAATAATGCTCTTAAATTCGCAGAAATATGGAGAGAATACTAATTTCATTTTCATGCACGTCCAAATTTGTCACAATCTGCACATAGGGAAGAAATGGGCTGAAGATGAAAACCATGTGCTATGCAATTCAAATTTCAAATTCTTCAACTGTCAAGTAAAAAACAGACCATTCACTTATTTGTTTCTACTTGAATTTGGGTGTTTTTTATTCTGTTTAGATTTGGATGAGAAGATGAAGAAGGTGGCTCTGAACATCCCAGAAAAAGACAATGCTGACAGTTTTGCCGGACGTGCCGACGCCTATTACCAGAAACGGCCACAGCTGTTAGCCTTACTTCAAGAATTGTACAACAGCTATGTCTCTTTGGCAGATCGCTACTGTCAAGCACTTGCCAAGAACCATCATCATAATCGTCGATATTCTTCTCCTATTCCATCACTAACTTTCAGTGAATGTGATGAGGAAGACAATGGTGGGGAGATCATTGAGTCTGATGCTGAGAGTTCATTATCATATCAACCTTCTTTTCCACCTTCAACACAAGGCAAATATGATGTTGATATGATTGTTGCTGACCTAGTGATCAGAACTGTGGAATATGATTTCGTCTTAGACGAGCTTGATCAAGTGGATAAGCAAAACAATGAGTCATTAAGGAAGGTAGAGTTGCAGAAAAGCTTACTGGATGTGCTGGAGTCAGAGAGGTTGATTCTGTTAAACGAGAATGCTAGATTAGGATACAAGGTAGCTGCATTGATGGAGGAAAACAAAGGGTTATCTTCGGAATCTCTGTTTTTGAAGAGGAAGGCTGCTGAGTTAGCAAGGTGCATATTAAAGATGAGGGAGGATCATAGAGTTTGCATGCTAAGTCGAAAGATTGAGGATCTTCAAGGGCAAATATACGGGCTGGAGAAGAGGAACAAGGAGTATTATGATCAGCTTTTGAAGCATGAAGAAGAGAAGAAGAGCAGGTCCAAATCGATGAAGGGTAAAAGAGAAGTTAGTCTAAAGGGTTGCTTTAAAGTTCCTGAATATGTTGTTGCTGGGATTACTAGGAGCTTTAGTTTTGGAAATCTGAAAAAGGGTGACCAGCAGGGAAATTTCAAAGCTGAAGACGAGAAGAAAGTTCCTAAGTTGTGGGATAGGGTTAAGAAGTTTGATATCTTCCTTTGTGGACCTAATTTCAACTCACCCTATTGCTGATTATAGGGAAACAAAATGTTTACTAGATTGAAATTATAGCTTTACTAGTATACTGTAAGTTTAATAGAGACTTAACTCTTGTATTTTGTATGTTCTATTCCACCCTTTTGGCCGGATACGAGTGACATCTGAAGAAAACTTCAATCTCTCACATATTAATAGTTTCTAATAGTAAAGATGGGTAAGGTCCTCCAAGATTGCATAAGTGAACACTGTCGATGATGGGCTATTATTTAAGTAGGGTGATAAATTGACATATGATGCATATATATAACAAAGATACCAGCAAATAGTCACTAACAAAATAATCTCCTGTTCTCAGACATTGTTCTATATACAATGTCAAACTAGACAATAAACTACAACAACATAACCATTTAGATTAGTGGAAGTACACTTCTGTAGAATTTGGCATAATTGAACCTATTATACCTCAGCAAGACCTAATACTTCAGGCAAATTATGTTGACAGAGATCCTACCTAGCTAATACATACCAACACATCCCTCATCCCAAATTCGCAAGAGCAAGTTTCTCCTTAAGCTTTGCAATCCGAGCCTGAAACATTAAGGATGATGATACATCAGTGTTGAAAAAGCAGATCTCGTGAAGAACAGATAGTTCTCTACAATAGCATCTCAGCACGTAACCTGTGTGTATGCATATGGACTCAGCTACTTGGGGGCATCATTGAGGTGATAGATTTACTCCAGGCCCATAATTCTTTAATATAGTTTGGAAGGCTTAGAAACATTTTGACAAACACCACCCTCCACATGGATCAGCTTTGTGGTGTGAATGGAAGTCACAGTTTTGAATATAAAGCTTAAGTTATTCTTGGCTGCAACCACAATCTGGCAATTTATCTGTGCTTGCAGCCTTATCTTATTGGAACCACACTATCTGTTTTAAAGATATTACCCATAGCTTTATTTAGTTATTGACACAACTGGCTAGACTAATGACTTCTATGATGTCATAATTGGATTTACACTACTAACAAAAGAACTATATCAGATTTTTAATTACTTATCAAATTGCACATTCATTGTCTTAAAAAACACTTTATACTTGTTTGGTGTTGCGAAAAGTTAATGCAAGGAATTAGACCTTAAAAATAAGCCTAAATCATAGGATTTAAGATGCAGAACAGATGCAAAAAGTTAAAGCAATTCTACTCTAGAAATACAACAGACATGAACTGCACCTTGAATGATTTTGAACGGCGGATGGACGGATCTAACTCTAAAGCGATGGAGTATGATTTCTCGGCTGCATCAACTTGGTCCGCAGCCATCAAAGCATCACCTTGGCAGATATAACCCTGTAAAAGATCAATTAGTAATAAATATTTGTAAGTAGGGATTAGTAGAAATAGAGTACAGATATTATGCAATCATTTTTTTATCTGCTGTATTCTTAAGTCGACATGTAGGGGATCGTGACATCATGGTTAAATAAGCTAATTTTAGCATTGAGTTTAAGCACAAAACATGCTTTTCATGTATACTGTAGCAGAAGTAACAAATAATCAAATTACTTCAGGATAATTGGGAGCAATAGTCAACGCCTCCTTAGCATCTTCAAGTGCATCAGCCAAATTTCCCATTGCCAACTCCACAGCAGACCTAAATGAAGATACTTATTTCAGCATCTTGTTGTTCACATGCATTCTGACCATCTAGACAACAAGGCATTAGTGACAAATTATTAATATAAATTTGGATGCTGGAACAGAATCTAGTGATCCAAGAATTTTTTAAATGACTTTAAGAAAATTCAGTATTTTAACCAGAAAGGAAGATGAAAGCCAAAATGCAAGGACAAACGCTTAAGAGACAGAATAATGATGGTTGCTTTTGCTAAAAGCTGCATGACAATCATTTGAATAACAGATATAGATTTAGGGTATTCTTCTGATTATTTGACTACCAATGTCTTAAACTTCCAATGGAAAAGAAGAGATTTTAAACACAATAAACCTGTCTTTGAGGATAATATGAACACCTCCAAACGGTTTTAGATCAATAGCCTGCACATGAAAATGGCAACATCAGTGCCCTTAGGCACCAACCTTGCATTAGATACAATGAACAGGCCAAATATAAAGAGACATGTAAAACTACAACATAAGTAACGATGGCAACATAGAAATAATGAAAGGACTACAGCATCATTTCTAGACACTTTCATTAACTTTTAGAGAAAGGATATCGAATGCTGTAATAGGTACTTTTTACTTTTATGATGCACTAGACGAGGGACAACAAAGTTCAAAGTAATCCAGCGTAACTACTTAGTGTTGCAAGAAAGCTAGAGAATTTTCTTTTTTTCTTTTTAACAAGGGTGCCCCGATCAGCTTGCATTAGTGATAAATATCTGTCTCATAGTAAGAAAATCTTCAATTCGATAACCTTGAAAGGATCAAATGTTATAATGTATGAGACCTTGAAACCGAAAGTTAATTCAAACATTTACACCTCAAGCTTTAATAGACCGTGCCATCTGTATGTTGAAATGATTTGAATCAATGACCTCTCTTTTTTTTTTAAAGTTTCTTCACCATTTTTATCATGACATACTTTGATAGCCTCAAATTTATTCTACTAATCTAAGTGGAAATCAATGCATTGATATTCATTCCAATGCGCTCTATCCCGTTAAGACAGCCCAAAAAGATCAATGGTCAGTGCCACTATGACACTTACTTTTTTTTTTTTTTTGGATGATGGTGGTGTCCATGCAGGGGCGAAGCTATGTTGGCCCAAGGGTGGTCAACTGAACACCCTTTGCCGAAAAATTATACTACGTATAAGGTAAAATATTACTTGTTATTGATTAATAAAAGACTTTGAACACCCTTGCATAGCCCACTGGCAAAGGGTGTTCAAACCCTTATTGAATTTCCTGGTTTCGCCACAGTGTCCAGGCTTGCTTGCGCACCTCAACTATTCCACTGGTACCTGTTACCTCCCAAGTCCCACCAGCTTAGGCAGATGTGAAGAAATCAGACACCTCCTAACTTTTTGATCGATAACATTATTCAAAAGTAATCCTAAGATAGTATAACTTAAGCAATACTTGATTCAGTGCAATTCATCGAAATACAAAACCAATATATACCTGTGAGAGCAAACTATGAGCCTCAGAAAAATTGCCATTACTCATTTCATCCTCAGCTCTTTTCCTCAATGCTAAAGCCTCCAAGCTTTTCCTGCTTTCCCCTTCCACGTCATCCCTCGTACCAAGGCAAAGGAACGCCATAATTTCAGCAGCACGAGTAGCAGTACCACAGTGCTTAACAAAGACGGCGTCGGGTAAAACGACAACGTTAGGTCCAGCTCCGCAGTGGCCAAGACAACCACAGGAATTCACAGTAATGTAGGGAGGAGCAATTCCGGAAAGAACTTGAAGGGTATCTAAAGATCCCTGTTTCCTGCATGTCCTGTTTGTGCAAACTCTAATTTCTATCTTCCTTTTTAATTCTTGTTCTGCTTCCATTGGCGATGCTTTGATTCTTGTAGAGTCAATTGGTTTGGAATTGGGGAATGGCGAAAAGTGTTGCTGCTGAGAAATGGTGCCGATAGTGAGACTGCTCATATGAATTGTACTCATCCTTTTAATTTAATTTCTTCTGTTTTTCCCGATTTCTTTACTGTTTTGCTCTCTTCATTTGTATGCTCCGCATAGATATGACACAATCTCAAACGACTTAAGGCGGGTAGGATAACGGAATATTTTACTTGGTCCGTCCAATTATTGTCCCAATTTATCCTCTTTCCAAAATTAGGTATAGTACTATATGCTTAAGTGGATTTTTAAGTTTTTTCCCGGAAAAGGTTCAAATATGCCCTCGTAAAATTGAGTGATTTGCCCATCATTAATACTTGGCACAAATATATCCATGTCGTCCAATACCTTATACAAATATGTACAATGCGAAATTGAGCGAATTTGCGCGTTGTTAATACTTTGGCACAAATATGCCCCTACCGTCCAATACCTGATCCAAGTATGCCTTCCATATGAGACCGTTTAAACTACGGACATATTTGGACCAGTTATTGGACGACAGGGACATATTTGTGCCAAAGTATTAAAGACAAGCAAATCCACTCAATTTTGCATAGTACGAGGGCCTATTTGGACCTTTTCCGTTTTTCTTTTGCGTCTGTGAAAAACAAACAAAAGTAATTCTTCTAATTTGATTTACTATTATCCATTTTTAACATAGTTAATTGAAAAAAAAACATATGGATACTAGTGGTTAGAATTGGATTCAAACACACAACACTTGTGAATAATGACTTACTGACTATCGAGTTGGATTTTGCATCTGTTACTGCTACTGTTTTCTAGAATAATTAGTTGTTTAGTTTTAGGAGGAGTCTGCTAGAAGATTCAGAATTTTAATTATAGTAAGAGTTTAGTAATTTAGTTGTAGGAGGAGTCTACTACTTTATTTATTTGGCTATTTAAAGCCCTATGATTAATAAAATTTTAGAGACAGTTTTTGAATCCTATTTTCAACCTTCTTGCTGCTTGCATATTTTTCTAAAATCCATAACAGTGGTATCAGAGCCTCCATTGATCTTGACGGATAACTGAATTCGCTGAAAAACAACCAATTTCAACCACTTTTAAACCATACCAATTTTTAACCAAATTTTTAACAATGGCAAGCAGCGGTCTCTCTTTGAATACCCCACAAACTTTCACTGGTGAAAACTATCAGATTTGGTCAGTGAAGATGAAATCTTATTTTGAAGCTTATGATCTATGGGAAGTTGTAATAGAAGACAGACTTATACAACCACTTCCTGCAAATCCTACCCTTGCCCAAATCAAAGCTCATTCAGATGAGAAAACCAAAAAATACAAAGCCAAAACTATAATTCAAAATTCAGTTGCAGATTCAATCTTCTCTAAAACCATTGCATGTGAGACAACAAAAGAAGCTTGGGAAACACTCAAATAGGAGTATCAAGGAAGTGAACGAAGCAGACAAAATCAAATTTTAAATTCGAAAAGAGATTTTGAATCTCTTAGAATGCAAGATGATGAGACCATCGCTAAGTATTCTGACCAAATTTCTTTAATTGTCAATAAAATCAGGTTGCTTGGCGAGGATTTCAAAGATGACAGGATAGTTGAAAAAATTCTTGTGATAATAATTCCCGAGAGATTTGAATCCAAAATTTCCTCTCTGGAAGAGTCTAAAGATCTCTCTACCATCTCTGTTGCAGAATTAATAAGTGCTCTTCAAGCACAAGAGCAAAGAAGGGCCTTCAGACAAGACAAAGTTACTGAGGGTATTTTTTATGCGAAACACCAAAAGGAAAAAATCGATTATCCTTATTGCAAATATTGCAAAAAGAAAACACAAAAATTTTGTTGGTGGAGACCTGATGCATTATGTGGAAATTGCAAACAAAAAGGTCATGTTACAAAAGTGTGCAAGTTCAAAGATGCTCATGCACAAGCACTAATAGCAGAAGAACGAATTGAGGATGACCTTCTTTAGACTGCAGCACCAGAAGCAAGGAGGAATGTTGGATTTTGCATCTGTTACTGCTACTGTTTACTAGAATAATTAGTTGTTTAGTTTTAAGAGGAGTCTGCTAGAAGATTCAGAATTTTAATTATAGTAAGAGTTTAGTAATTTAGTTGTAGGAGGAGTCTACTACTTTATTTATTTGGCTATTTAAAGCGCTATGATTAATAAAATTTTAGAGACAGTTTTTCAATCCTATTTTCAACCTTCTTGCTGCTTGTATATTTTTCTAAAATCCATAACACATCGAACTAGATAGCATAACAAGCCAAAAAAAAAAAAAAAAAAAAATCAGCAAATTGGACCAACAAATTTGGAGAAGTAAAATTGTGCGAGACATAAATATATTTAGACATTGAATAACATGTTGCTCGGCGAACTGTCTGAATTGTTGGTCTAGTCCAAGCATTCTTTAGGCATTTGAGTGAATCTTGCAGTATCCTTACAATAATCATAGACCAAGTGCTTAGATTGAACCATTTTGAATTGGCGCTTTTTGCTCTTGTTCAGCTCCTTCATGGCTGGCTTATCCCACCAGCATTCTGCTAACTTGCTGCATTTTGCACCAGCAGCAACTGTGTCCTCACCAGACAAATCACAAGCGTCAATCTGGAACGCTCGAAATGTTGCAACAAATGGAGAGTGGCTCCAGTTGGTCTTCACTCTCCCTCCTTGTGTAGCCCAATCATCTGCATTCCACAACGATCCATAAATTCCCATGCCTTGATTTTTCGGGTATGCCACGCCTTTGTTCTCTGTGTTTTTGAACACTCTAATAGGAATGTCATCAACTGAAAAGCTGAAAAAATTCATATGGCAAGTAAAATTCTTCATTGTTAGTTGCGAATTTAACTTATATACACTGACAGTATAGGTTATCAACTAGTTATACAAATTTACTTTAAATTGTCAAAGTTGCAAGCCTCTAAAATTATTTAAAGGAAAGATCAAACACATTTAGAGATGGTCGAAGTAAGAACTACATACATGATGGTATGATGATTCCAAAAGAAAGAGTAAGTGTGGAAATCCGCAGTTGGATCGAACCAAAGACTATGCCTCTGCTCTCTGTCTCCGGTGCCATTCGCATACACATTTGTTTGTACTAGGTATGGTTCTCCTGAAACATTCCCAAGAAACTCAAAGTCCAGTTCGTCGTGATTAGCTCCCTCTGATGACATCTGCAACCACATATTAATTCCAATAATGTTGGTTATAATTTGAAGAAACAATATAAGAGTACTTTTGATGAATATTTGTTTGGTTTTAGTTACGTACGTAAAAAGCAATGACTGTTCCAGCTGAATCTCCTCCAACTAGTTTGATCTGCACGCTGGCTTTCCCGAACAAATATTTGTTCTTCGACTGAAACCCGCAGCCTTTGTAAATATCAACATAATAAATCAAATGGGTGTATAATTATATTGCCTTGACAAACAGAAAATGTAATAAAAGACTAGGAAGAGAAAGCAGGTAGAAATGAAGTGAGATATATTGGTTATTACCTGAAGCATTGTCAAGGGTGAGCATAACTTGATCTCCTACCACAGTAATATGGTCAGGTGCCCAACTCGACTCGAAAACTTCGGTGAAGTTGACACCAACCCCTGTGTTTAGTAGCATAGCTAGGATCAAAAAGACAATCATAGAAGATGACATTGCTTTCTGGAACTTGAAACCAATTAATTTTAGGGTCTAGAAGTAAAAGGTTCAAGTCTATTGGTCTATTGGTAAAAGCGACAATCAAGAACTTGGAGGCACTTTAGTTTTATATATAAGTTGTATTAACATATATTTATGGACTGGATTGTTTAAATTAGTATCATGGATTACAGCGAGCAGAGAATGTTTTAGTGGCAGCCATGGCATTGTCGTCAGCATGCAGCCTTTTCTACGTTTTGTTTACTATATTCTTTTTTACCAGATGAACTGATTCTTTGCTGCACTCCACTAACTACCAGTTTCGATAATAGATTCTTTTGTTCAAACATTCTACAATAGAAACTTCAAGTTGCATATAATGATGACTGTATTTATAAGTCGACATTATAAGATTTATGTGTGTGTGTTTGGGGGGGGGGGGGGGGGAGGACAAGTGGGAAGTTTGTTATTAGGTGGTAGACTGCTGGTGTGAAGCAAAAAACAGTATATACTGCCGAAAGTTCTGTATGGCTACAACCCACCCACTAAAACATTAGAAACGCACTATTATTTGATGATTGAATGAAGCAGGGAATAAATAAGAATAGATTACCCCATCTGCAATACAAAAATTTCCAAGAAGATGCCTTTATCCAGGTACTTTCCCAGAAGGCACAGTAAAAAGTGAACTAATATGCTACATCAATATTTTGAGACTATACATGAGCAATAGCCAAAGTCAAATGGGCAACCTCATAACTGGTCAAATATCTGTATACTGATTAAAAGGTGCCCTACCTATAGACAAATTACAGGGTTAGAAGATGAAATCAACTTTGAACTCTCTATGCTATAGCAAATTCAGGCCAACTGTCAGTATCATCGTGATAAGTGAGTCTAAGTCAAAACAAAAATATGAAGTTCCCTGACGTTCGACACCTCGTGCAATCTCTTCATATGTTTCACCCAATCAATATACTTTGGTGTTACACGAACTAGAATTTGATCCCTGGTCACTCATTGGCCATAGGAAAAGGGAATAAGTTAAGCTGCCAGCCAGGGCAATTTGTATGTACAAGTCCCAGTTGAGATGAGTTGTAGACACCCATAGGCCACTCCACCACCTGGAAAGGATGCTAGTAGCCACTGTTTAAGCCCCAAGATGATACAATATTGAAAGGATGCATCTGGCAAAGAACTAAGAAAATGAAACTGTTATAAATATGAGATTGAGAATCTCATGGATGAAACTCTGAGAACTACAGATGTTTGACATAGTGTGATCCTTTTATCTACTTCATAAAAACTGGAATAGGTGCATATTATTCTTGTCAACTCTTGTCAAATGATAGAAATGAGGGAGTAAACAATCAGAGATTTACCTGCATAGAGCATAGGTGTCTACTGACCACCTCTTATGACGTCTTTGATGAACACAAAGCAGAAGAAATATACCATTATGAACTCTTTACCAGCTCCAGTCTCTTTTTAAACATCAGGCTCTTCCAACCAGCTCCCTCTTGAAGATGAGAATGATGTAGACTTGGTAAAGTCATGTTTGCATTCCCAAGAAGAGAACCAAAATCCCTCCATCTCAAGACAGCAAATCCTGTTCTTATTGTTGAAAAAACAATTCGTGGTTTAGGGAGAAAACTAGTGAACTCTTAAAAAAAGGTGGAGTGCTCTTCAGGAAAAAGTAGAACTTGGTTCTCCATGCAGTTCATTGCGGAAGTTCAAACTGCCCAACTTAGAGAAATAATAATTGCAATAATTCACAACCACAAATTTTGGATCCAAGAACTACAATTGGACTAAGCCCATCCGTTAAGTTAAATCCTAATTATCATCATCACCCCAAGGAATAAATTGCTGAAGTCCCCAAATTTTGTGACTTCCGATTATAGAAAAGGGGAAGCACAAACCAAATGAAATGATCTTAGAATCATCCATCCATATCTCACCAGTAATCCTCACATGAACAAGATCCACCTCTAAAATGATGGAACCTACTTGAATCTCGCACGGTGATCTCCCTTCCAACAATTTTTGAGATAACTTTAATTGCAGCATGACAATCTACGCAAGCTCGCAAGTTTTTCATAATGATAATGGGTGATCCTTCTGGAGTACTAATCAATGCAAAGGCAATGGCCAACCTCTCACTATGATATTTGAGTGATTCCGCTTTCATTTCTTCATCCACATTTTGAAGAGTACAACTTGTATCAGGCTTGTATCCTTCCTTGTCCATTAGCTCAACCAATGAGTCAATTTTTCTTCTAATCTGCCCAGTTTGTGGATGGGTTCTATCATTTGCAGTGAATACATGAACTCTGTGGTCAATTTCAACCCAGCTATAGGCAGTGACCTTTTTAACTCCCCTTTCCCTCATAGCCTTCTTGACTTTTGCCGCATTTTCCCACTTGCCTGCTTCTGCATAGATGTTAGACATGTTGACATAAGCAGCAGCATCTCTAAGAGCATCCATCTTGAAAAGTTGGTCAGCAGCCTTTTTGGCAAGGTCTTGATTCTTATGAATTCTGCATGAGTTCAAAACTGATGACCACATTATCTCATCCGGCTCAAATGGCATTTCAGAGATCATCTTTTCTGCCTCATTAAATCTTCCACTTCTACATAACACATCAATCATTGTTGCATAGTGTTCTCTCCTTGCGTCAAGATTATATACTTGCATCATGGAATTGAAATACCATAGTGCCTTTTCGACAAGCCCACGGTGGCTGCAAGCAGTTAGGACACTGAGAAAACTAACAGAATCAGGATATAGACCTGATTCAATCATATCCCTGAAAGAGCGAAATGTGGCCTCCGCATCACCATTCTGAGCATATGCAGAAATCAGTGCATTCCAACATACTATATTCCTATCAGGCATCTCTTTGAAAACTTCAATTGCGTCTTTCATGGAACCACATTTTGCATACATGTCTACAAGAACACTGCCAGAAAAAACACTGGACATCAATCCCAGTCTGATCACAGATGAGTGTAATTGCTTCCCAAGAGAGACTGAAGCCAAACTTGCTGAAGCTTTTAAAGTACTAGCAAAAGTTGCCTGGTCACCATGAACATTTTCTCTAGTCATATCCTTGAACATTCTGAGTGCCTCCTCATGAAAACCCTTTTGAACATATATTGAAATTATGGCTGTCCATGGAACAGAGCTTCTGTATGCCAGATTTTGAAATATTCTGTTGGCTTCATCAAATTTTTCACACTTTGCATACATGTCAACAAGGGCATTTCCTACTTGAACTTCTGAATCAGCTGTTGTCACCACTGCTTGTGCATGGATTTGCCTTCCCATTGCTAAATTTAATTCTGTTGCAGCTACGCTTAACATTGTAGGAAAAGGAAAATTCTTTCTGTCAAATGTAGTACACTGTAGCCTTTTGAAGAGATCAAATGATTTCTCATACTGCCCATTCCATGCATAACCTGTGATAATTATGTTATACGAAACACCATCTAACTCGGGCAGCTCATCGAAGAGATTCTTTGCGAAATCTATATAGTCATGCTTCGAGTAGAAATCAAGCAATGCATTTGCAACAAATATGTCCCAGACATAGCTGGTCTTGATGGCAAGGCCATGAATTTGTTGACCAAAAATAACATCATCTGATTCAGCACTCAGACCGAGCACTGCTGCAAAAGTAAAATCTGAAGGCTGAAAACCCATATTCCGCATTTGCATAAATAGCTTTGATGCTTCTTCACGAAAACCGTATTTTGTGTACCCTGTTATCATAACATTGAAGCTTACAGAATCTTTAGTTGACATTTCACAAAAGAGTTGAGATGCTATATCGAGGCAGGAAGTTTTGCAGTACGAATCTACCAAACTGTTGCAAACAATAAGACTTGAACTAAATCCAAATCGAATGATATGGGAATGAATCTGAAGTACTTCTTTTAAAGTTGTTGTACCATCAAAACCTGATAAGAGAGTTGCAAAGGTGATATGATCCGGCTTAATCCCCGACCTACACATCCCCGTGTATAGACTAAAAGCCTCTTTAGGCTGATTATTCTGAGAGTAACCACCAATCATCGTAGTCCATGAAACTTCATTACGAGAGAGCATGCTATCAAATAACTCCCTCGCACGAGAAAGATTACGTGACTTCACATAACCCGAAACCATCATGTTCACGGAGCAAGTGTTTTTGCAAGGCATTTCATCAAACAGTTGACGTGCCTTCGCGATTTGATTTGTTCTTACTAAATCCTTTAGTTGGAAGTTAAGGCGAGATATTTCAGGGTCAAAACCCGTTTTGATTCTGCGGACATCTACTGGGACATCAACAATACGTTCACTGCATTTCATAAGCGCGATTTACTTTAAAATATTTTATAAACCAAATGCAATGAACAAAAAAAGTACTATAACAATAAAGAAGAAGCAAAACCTGCGGGCACAGTAAAATCTCTTGGCAAAAATCCTAATTGGATCGTTAGCTCTTAAATTTCCCATTGTACTGCAAAAGGGTAACCAAAAAGATTAAATTTTCAGAAGTTCCATCGATTTGTAGCTATCACTAGCATGAATTTGCCTGACCACATGCGTCTTTTGCAACAATTGTTTTCCTTTTCCCTTTTCTATTAATTGGAATTATTTATACTGCAGCAAAACAATCATTGGCAGCAGACTCTACTGAGTGCTTTCAGCCAATTAACAAACATTGAAAAACGGAAGCATGAAAGAGGATTTAAATAGGTAACTCAGGCACAGAGGAGCAAGTGGCGGTTAAAGAGTAAAGACTAGTCATAATTTATGAAAAAGAAAATGGGGGCAGAGAACTCAGTCAGTTTCCCGCCTAGGAACAGAAACCAAACTTGCTCGCAAAGAAAAGCAAACTGTTCAACGAAAATTTGGAAATATATATTTTGACTGGTATTAATAAAAATATACAACTTTGAATTTCATACTTTTTTTCCTTAGTGTATTAGTAGTGAAATGGCACTTACGTTGCTCCAAGTAGATATGTAGTTAAATTTACATATGATATTTTGAATTATACACTTACTACAATAATTGGTACAACAACAATTTTTGACATATTAGAAGCAGTTGCTGGGAGATGTAGAGTCAATACAAGAATTATTAAAACCAGTTACTAGAGAAGACATAATCCATGCTATCAAAGACCTGCCAAATGACAAAGCTCCTGCTATTGATGGATTTACAGGTGAATTTTTTAAAGCACACTGGTAGACAGTAGGAGAAGATATGATTAAAGCCATTTTATAATTTTTTGATAATGTTAAATTGTTAAGGGAGGTCAATTGTACCACAATCACCTTGGTCCCTAAGGTTTCTAGTCCTACTTATGCTAAAGATTTCAGACCCATAGCATGATGTAGTACTGTCTATAAGATAGTTGCAAAGGTGTTAACTATAAAAATAAAACCTATGGTTGATTACTTGGTGGGTCCATCCCAATCTACATTCCTTGAAGGTAGAAATATCCTGGACAATGTGATTATAGCTCATGAGTTAGTGAAGGGTTATGGGAAAAAAAGGAGTATCACCTAGATGCCTAGTAAAAGTAGATATCCGAAAGGCATATGATTCTCTGAATTGGAATTTCCTGAGGCAAGTGCTAGTGGAATTTTGATTCCCTCAGAAGCTGGTCTGTTTGATCATGAACTGTGTCTCCACAGTCAGTTATTCATTGCTACTAATGGTGGTCTAACTCCTATATTCCATGCTAAGAGAGGGTTGAGACAAGGGGACCCCATGTCCCCGTATCTATTTATTCTAGCTATGGAATACCTAAATAGATCCTTGAAGCAACTTAGAAACAATCCTGACTTCAATTACCACCCCAGGTATGCAAAAAAGAAAATAGTTCACATTTGCTTTCTTCCTAACTAACCAGTTGGCTTGACTTGGGGTTGTTATGTTGTTCAGCTCCCTGTCCTTTATGTATATATTATGGATACATTATACCCAAAGTTTGTCCTTCTTCTACCCACTGCCCACAATATTTGCAGATTGCAGCTTTGTTCCAGGTAAAGAAATCCAATAAATTTAACCCTCCTGCTGCTTTAGGAAGACATACTGTACTCCAGGCTATTAGGGCTCTTCTTGAGTATTCATTACTCCCAGTCCACAGGAAATTCCTGCATACATTGTCACCATAGTCAAGATCTTCTTAGGCAATAGGAACACTTGGGCCCAATATCTCTGCATCTCAAATAGTACACTTTTGATAAGCTGTACTCTACCACTGTATGATAGGAACTTAGTGGTCCAACATTGAACTCTAGTAATTATCTTTTCAACCAAGGGTAGACACTGGTGAATAGAAAGCTTCCTTGAAGACAATGGAATACCCAAGTATTTGAACGACATCTCTCCAATAGTGAAATGCATATCTTGCATTATCTTAGCTTTAAACTCTTGTGTCACTCTTGCAACATAGAATAAACTCTTCTCCAGATTAGCTTTCAGTCCAGAAACACTAGAAAAGTGATCAAATGCTTGCATCATAAGAAGAATAGAGACCTTGTCTGCCCTGCAACACATTAGTAGCTCATCATTTTGATGCAAGGAAATAGATGACTCGATCTGGTAATGTTATGGACTGCCTTGAATCATTTGAAGATAGAGAGAAGTTCAGTATCCAGAAGTCCTATCAATCTTTTATACCTACATTTCCAAAAGTCTCGTGAAAAAACTTGGCCCTAGTGAAAGGAATAATTCCTAGGCATCAGTTTATTCTATGGCTGACAGTTCATAAGAAGTTATCAAAAGTGGACAGACTACAGAAGTGGGGAATTAAGGCGGTGCAAGACTGTATCCTATTTAACACAAATGCAGTGGAGACACTGGAGCACCTCTTCTTTTGTTGTGACTATTCAAAGTATATATGGAGCTCGTTGCTACACTGGTTAGGGGGGAGGAGACCAATCAGAGGATAGGATGAGGTGGTCATTTGGGCATCCAAGAGAACTAATAACTCTCGAGCAAGAGCAGGCATCATTGGCTTCTTATTTGCAACAAGAATCTACCACATATAGGCTGAGAGGAATGCTAGAAGGTTCAGAAACCAGAGACGAGAAAGCAGGCAGCTGATCAAGAAAATTGTACTGCAATTACATATATATGGTCAGAAGAATGGCAAATGGCAACAACAGTTGAATGGCCCGAATAGTTACCCAATATAGATTTTAAAGTGTTAAACATGTTATCACTAGATATTGTCAGTAGTTATAGAAGTTAGCCGGATAAGGAACAATTAGAATAGTTATAGAGATTACTGAGAGCTAAGTCATGAGTCCAATGAGTGATTTGTACATATTTATATACTTGGTTAAATAAAATTTTATGTTTAACCAAAAAATATGTCATAAAATAGTTTTTGATTCATACAATATTTAAATCACTATAACAGTCAAGTTACAAAATAATTCTTTTCATATTAAATTACTTAAATTTTATCTATTATAAATATAAAGTCACAAAAATTTTCCCACAATGATAGTAAATTTGGTTGAATTAATCATTATAGTAGGTAAAACTTATTTATTTTAGAGTAACAAAAATAGTTTTATAATTTTATTATTTTAGTGGATAAAGTGTAATAACTCTTTTGCTATAATTAGTAAAGTTCAGCTACTTTTTTTTGGTAATAAATGTGAAATACATTAACAAACCAAATTAGTACATTTCATGAGCACCTATAACCACATGACACTCAACACTGCAGTTAAAGCCTCCAAATACATCTGAGAAAGGAAGAAAATCTGCTAACTACACACACTAACCTTTAACTATTTGCTCTCTAGTTACATAACCTGAGCAGTAACTGTCTACATTATTGTGCTTTCCTACTTATCTGTGTATCCTCTAGTCTGTATTTGAGTTCCTTTTTTAGCTGTGCAATTGCAAGGTCTGTATTCATAATTGTGGTCCTGAATATCCTCCAATTTCGTGCCTGCCATGTGTGGTAGATAGCTGCCCCAATATGGCTGCCACTACTTCTTTCTTCATCTGCTTTCTTTTCCGCTTTTTAACTAATGTAGGCTTTGTGTGACTCCCCTGGCCATCAGTTGAATACCTGCCCATTGAGTTAGCTCATTCCTCGTCTCCTTTATCTACTCACAATCCACAAACAGATGTTGCATTGTTTCCGCTACTCCATTTCCGCATAAGCTGCATGTATTGTCTGTCAATCTGATGTGCAAGTGCTGCAATCTCTCCTTTGTGAGCAATTTATTTTGATTCACCAACCAAACTATGAACTTGAGTTTTGGCTCACTTTGGTCCATACTAGATTAGCTGTCACGATAAAAAATCCATTAAAGGTCGTGATGGCGCCGGACATCACTGTCAGGCAAGCCAACACCAAATAACAAGAATTTCTTGTTTTAATATTTTTGAAGAAAATCGTTTCCTTTACACATTAAACAATAAGTAATGAATTTTGCTGAATAAATAATGTTGTCTTTATCATACTTAATATTAAATTATCCCATAATTATCCCAGAACGCGGTATCACAAGTGCATGAGCAATCACTAGGAAATCAAATAAAGTACAATAATTGTCCGTAATATAAATTTGGACAGAAAGTAAATACAATACACTGAAAGAGACTATGCTGGCTGCGGGTCACCTCGAGGAGTGCAACTCACCTAAGCCTCCGTATCATCCATGCTACTACGCCCATTAGGCCACTACAGGTACATGTGCATGTGCAACAAAAATGTACAACAAGTGTAGCGTGAGTACAAAAAACAACGTGTACTCAGTAAGTATCCCGTCTAATCTCGAAAAAGTAAAGACGAGAGGTCGACTTCGACACTTACTAATGGTCTAGTAATATCATTATAGTAAAGAAGTGAATAAGTATGAAACAGGGCAATTATATGAAATAACCATGTATAAAACACATAGTAACATCACCCTTCTTTTTTTTTTTACTCAAATTTTCAACTAGCAAGTTCCCTCCGTAACTGGAGCACGTATATAGATATGGTGGATTTCCTTAAAGAAGTTGTCATACTTTCAAACAGGGAAAAATGGGCTACTAGCCAAATGTCACGCACGATTTCCATGAGAATGGTATATATATATATATATATATATATATATATATATATATATATATATATATATANGCCGAGGGTCGAACGACGCGAACCATAGATGCATCTATTAACCTGCAGAGGCGATCGGCCCGCTCCCATGAGAGTAGTAAGAGATAATACCCCGCTCGCGAATCATACGTGCGACGCGGTCAAATATGATTTAAGGGACTTCCCCGCTCGCGAATCATACATGCGACGGGGACAATTATAGGTTTCTTAAGTTATTATGATATTTATCTTTTCTTTTCGAAAATACGAAGTTTAATGGAAACTCTTAAAATCTCAAATTCCTCAATTCAAATTTCTTTCCAACCCAATTATTACGCAACTTAATCTTGTTTCTTCTCAAACAAACAATGAACTTAATTAACAACCATATTAATCAAGGCAGGATGTAAGCCTAGAACTAACTGGACATAGATATAATAGTAGCCACGCACGGACTCTCGTCACCTCGTGCGTATGTAGCCCCCACAAATAGCAGCACATATCCAATTAATTCACCTAAGGGGACAATTCCCTCTTACAAGGTTATAAAAGAAACTCACCTCGCTCCGAAGCCTATATCCCAATTCAAGAATGCGCTCAAACCTCTAAATCGGAGCCGAACGATACAAAAACTATTCAAATGGGGTAAGAACTAGTCAATACATGCTCAAAGTTCATATTCTAATTATTAAACCAATTTTCCAACCCTAAATGCAAAGTTCCTAAAATTCATCCCCGGGCTCACGTGCCCGAATTCTGGAAATTTTTGAAGAAAGTTGTTACCCATAACCTAAGGATCAAGAATATATGATTTCTACTCCATTCCATAACCATTTTCGTGGTCAAATCTAATTTTTATCCAAAACCTAAAATTTTCATCTAAACCCTTGATTTCACCAGTTTTCACATGTTAATCTAGCCATAATCTATGTATTAAACTCATGTTGTGTGGAAATTACTTACCTCAAAGTGCTAGGTGAAAACCCTCTTCCAAAAGCTCCAAAAAATGCCTAAGACCAAGTGGAAAAATGAGAGAAATGGGCTAAGTCTCGGAACAAAAAGCCCTGGGTTCCAGTCGCAGATGTCGCATTTGCGACAAGAAGTTCGCAAATGCGAAGAATGTATCGCAAATGCGACCCCCGGCTGAACTGGCCCATTTCGCAAATACGATACGGGTTTCGCAAATGCAAACCCTTCAGGCCTCGCAAAAGCGACCCATTTGTCGCAAGTGCGAACCATCCCCTCAGCCGCCCAAGTTTGCAAATGCGAACAGAACCTCGCAAATGCGATGACCGCATTTGCGACCAAAACATCGCAATTGCGATCATACCAGTACCAATCCTATTTCTTAACAAAATGCTCCGAAGCTACTCCGAAACTCACCCGTTAGCTTGTATGGGTCCACTAAATCTTAGAGTACCTGGTCCTCTACAAGTTTCTGCCGAGAGAACTTAGTAAGGCAGTAAGTAAATGAGGCAGATGATTTTTACATGGAAAAATCCCGCACAAGGGGATAAAAAAACCACGACCTATGATTTTAACTTCACTAACTTGTAATCTTACCTATTACAAGCCACTTTACAATGCTTCCGATTGTAAAGACTTCAAACTAACTTGTGGCACCTTTACCACAAGCCACTTTGTGACTATCCTAGTTACAAAGGCTTTTTCTAAGTTGTGGTGCTATCACCACAAGCCACTTTGCAATACTAAAATTACAAAGACTTTTGTTTATGACTAAATCTAGCCAAACCCTAAACTCAACGAGTCTGAGGATTTACAAAAGAGTTCCTAATCAATAAACTTCTAAGTAAGCAATTTAGGAGATATTGTAAGTGCAATAACAAGGTTACAACTCAACTAGGACAGCAATAATCAATCGTTTTGGAACTGGTCCGTAGTAGCGTTCAACCTTGTTCTTCAAGCTTGAGAGAATGATCTTTTCTGTTTTTGCTACAGGCTTGAATCCATGAAACTAAAACCATTCAGTGATGTTTTGTATAAAAACCCCTTTGTTACATCTTGGTCACATCACTTGAAATGATGTGAGTACTTTGTTTGGTTAGAGAATGAGTGGGCTGACAGTGTGGCAGAAACAGTGCCGCCAATCACTTCAGTTCCAGCTGTGTCCAAATGACTTGTGCTGCTATATAGGAACCACAAGAGCATCAGGTCCTTGTATGGTTCCTAGCTCCTATAAGTGTAGCAATTCATCTTTTACTGGAGTCCGTTGGAGTTTGCAGCAATCCAAGGTAGATCAGGTTCCCTAACTGGTTCTTGTCAGAAAGTTTGTTAGATCATCAAAACATAAGGTATGAATATTTAAGATCTATCAGTTTTCCCCTTTTTGATGATGAAAAACTTAAACAGTTATAAGGTCAGAATTAAGGCATCAAAGAGCAGTAGTGTCAAAGAGTTCCCCCTGAGACGATGCCTTCAGTTACACAAGAAAGTTCCCCCAATGTGGTTCCCCCTGAGTCCTATATTAGTCTTTCTTGTTTTTCCTCCCTTTTGGCATCATTTAAAAGAATAAAAGTGCAAAGAAGTCCAGCTAAGCTAACCCATGCCACATATGTGCACACAAACATGAGGAAAAATAGAAGATAAAGGAGAAGCACTAGACAAAATAAAAGAGAATGCATATTAATAAATTTATATTATGCCCCTTCTTTTGAAAAAGGAAGAGACAACATTGGACTTGTTCACGGGAGCAGTAGTAGTAGTACATCCCAACCATACACAAAAAAAAGAACAAAAACAACCACAAACATCAACAGAAAAGAAATATCCAGAAAACTGGTCACTGAAGGGAATTTTAGGGGGCACTAGGAGGAAAAGGCTTGGAAGCTGCAGCAAGTGTTTGGAGAACAAGGTCTATTCGGGCGTTTCCCGACTTTTTCTCGGCGAGCAGTTCGGCCTTCAGGTTCTCCACTTGCGCCCTGAGGTCAGCATTTTCTTGGGTCAAGCGAATTACCTCATCATTCGACATGGGAATCGCTCGAGCTTGCTGGCCTTCCAGGATAGCGTTTCTGGCCTTCAATCGACGTAGCTCCTCGGCTGCACTGTTCTGGGCATTGATGAGCTGAGACACAGTTGAAGTGCTTCCTACACCCCCATACTTCTCAATACACTCACACTCTTCCAAGGTTGTCTGAGAGAATGTCTGTTTACGGGTCCCTACTTTACCTGTTCCTAAAGGAACCCCAAAGTGTTTGAACACTCGCGTGAGCAAGAATCCGTAGGGAAGCCCGTGATTGCCGTCCTTGAAATCAGCCACTTTCTACATATGCTCAATCATTATAGCAGGCAAACTCATAGGATGGAAACCATCCAATTGCTCCATTAAGAATAAATCAGATTTGGAAGTGACAGATCGCCGTTCTGCTCGAGGCAACAGGACTTTGTTAACCAGCTCAAACAGCAACTGGTAGACAGGAAGCAGTGCTTTCTTGTGAATCTGGTCCCCTTTCTGATTGGAATTATCTTTCACCACTGTATTTCGGAAGTTGTACTGGCAAATATCTCGAACACTCTTCACTCCAACTATAGGAACTTGCAAAATTTCCCCAAGAACTTTCACATCAAATACAATGTCCACACCATTTACCAAAGCACAAACATGGTCAGTATCCACCGGACCTCCTCCTCATACACTTTGGGAGCATCCACGTAGAAAAAATGCGTCCACTGTTGAAACTCCACCATTTCCAAGAGTTGACGCATCCCGACCATTTCTGAGATGGTGGGGTCAAACGTACGCCCCAGCAGAACTCTCTGGTGCCTCAATCGCTCTGAGCCCAGGCAGACCTCACTTCGTGCTTTCTTTTCAGAACTAGGTTCTTCAACTGTTTCATATTTGCATTTCCTATGTTTTTCTCCACTGACTTTACTTTTCCCTTTGGACTTGACATGAATATCCTCATCACTCACTACCTTCTGCATCTTAGACTTGGAAATAGAGCATTTCTCCAGAGAAACAGACTCAGCC